TGAGATGTTAGTGGACACTCATTTTATTATACAACTCTTGAAGATTCCATTGTGTCCTCCCAAAATTCATGTGCTGAAGTCCTAAACTCTACTACCTTAGAATATAACTATTTAGAAATCAGATTTTTAAAGAAGTAACTAATTTAAATGGAACGCTTTAAAAAGTATTGACACTTCCAGCTTAAAGAAAGAGCAGTTTACTTTGGTTCCTGGTTTCAGAGGTTCAATCTGCGGTCAGCTGGCTCCAAGAAGAAACCTCATAGCTGATGTGTGTGGCAGAAAGCCTATGTGTGTGGCAGAGCAAATAATTTAAGTGAATTCACTCCAAAGTTGGCTGGACCCAAGGTAGAAATGCCAAAATGGAAAAACATGACAGAGGGAAGCCGCTGGCCTCATGATAACCAGGCAGTAGGGAGGGAAAGGAGACGCCATCGACAAGAATGTATCATCCCAGGTCACCCCTAAGTGAACTAACCTTTCCAACCAGGCCCACTTCCGTACAGCACTGTCTGTTATGAATTCATCAATGGACTAATCCTATGATAGTAATGGACTCTCATGATCCAGTTATCTTCCAAAGTCTCACTTCTGAAGAAGAGAATTTTCAGGAACAGTCTCTGTGTAGCAGCTGTTGATAGGAAATCTAGATATCTGCATGCAAAAGAATGAAGCTGTGTCACTCACATTGTGGAAAAATTGACACAAAATAAAGATTTAAGTGAAACTTGAAAGATATCATAGGTATATATCGAAAAGTATTGAAGATGATAATGCTACTAAAAGAAAAATTAGGAACATAATGATGGTAATCAGGACAATGTTTTGTTTTGTTGTTTCATTTTAATAACATCTAAAAAGCACAAGCAACAAAGGCAAAAATGGATGGAACTAAGAAGCTTCTGTGCAGCAGAAAAAACTAATCAATACACAGTCTATTGAGAAAAAGTTGGAAGCTATGCATATGACATGGAGTTAATATCCAAAATGTATAAAGAACTCAAATCAATGAAAAGCCAGCAACAACAAATAATCCAGTTAAAATGAGAAAGCTCAATCAAAGCTCCTAAAAGAGGACATGTGAAGAGCCAGTAAGTACCCAAAATAAGGCCAACATGACTAATCATTAAGGAAACATAAACGAAAATTAACATTGAACTATATCACTCACCCCAATTAGAATAGCTACTATCAAAAAGACAACAGATGTTGACATGGAGATGAAATAAAGGAAACTGTCATACACGGCCGTTTAGAATGCAAATTAGAACAATTGTTTGGAAAAGCAGCAAGGAGTTTTCTTTAAAATTTAAAAGAGAGCCACATCATGATCCAGCAATCATAGAGTTGGGTATATATCTCTAAGGAGTGAAGCCAAGGTGTTGAAGAGCTGTCTACATTCTCGTGTTTATTACAATACTACTCACAGTAGCCAAGCTATGGGATCAATGGACATGTCCATAAAAGATGAACAGGGAAAATGTGGTGCCTAAACACAATGGAGTCAGTCACAGGAGAATTAAATCCCACCATCTGTTCCACCGTGGATGAAACTGGAGGATATTTATGTTAAGCAAAGCAATCCAGGCACAGAGAGACAAGTACCATATCCTCTCATCTTTGTGGAACCAAAATAAACTGATCTCATAGAAGAAAAGGTACCAGTGGCTACCAGAGGGTGCAGAGCTTGAGGGAGGTATACAGACCGATGAATCAATGGGGACAAAGTCAGAGCTAGAGAGACACAATAAACTCTGTCTTCTGTTGCACAGTAGACTGATTATGGTGGATACTGTGAATATTTCAAAATTAGGAGAGAGAATTTGCATAGTCGCACCATGAAGTAATGTCAGCCGTATGAGGTAATGGATATGCTACACAGCATGTGATAATACAACACATACGTGTACCTAAATGTGATATTGTACTCCATATATACATACAAATTATTATTTAAAAATAAAAAGGATCATTAGTGGTTGCTATATAGAGCTTGAAAATGTCACTTCAAGACACACTTTTATTTGAATATTTAAGATAGACAACTCAATGCAGGAGACAGAACAGGAAATGATAAACAGATGTTAGCATAGATAGATAGATAGATAGATAGACAGACAGACAGACAGACAGACAGACAGATAGATAGATAGATAGAAAATGAATGCATTACCTTATATTTCAAAGTCTGACTTCCATAATCATCGATAATCACTAGGGGAGGCAGTGAAGTCCATTGATGACTGATTTTATATACCGTGTGCACATTTGATTGGACAGAGTGAGGCAGGATTGGAACATCAGTGTTCCAACATCAGGGCCTGTGTGTAAGACACTGCAGAAGCAGGCACGGGGACGAGCCCAGCCAGGGTGACATCTGGAATACAAGGAGATGAGGTGATAGAAAATGGTAGAGAATTCCTCATTTGCAGTCAGGGAAGGATGACTTATACGCTGACTATTCTCAGAGCTTTTCTCCCAGCACTGTCTCTCAGAAAAGAGGCTGTCATCCTACAGTGACTCACTACAGTGTCCCCGTACGGTGGCATGGACTTTTGAGGAGGACACATTTTCCGGAAACAACAATAGGAAATGATTGACATCGTGGATTAGGAATAGATTCCTTTATAGAGGTAAAAGAAAAACAGAAGCAAAGGAATTCAGCAGAGAAGAAGTCATTACTCGTGTGAGAGCCACCTCTAAATTGTAGGAAGACCTCTTATGCAATCTTTTTGAAAAATTACTGAAATAAACATTTGGCTTAGTAGTCATAGAGATGTGATCATAAATATACACCATTAGTATAAATGATGAAAACAGTGATTCTAATATTGTGTAAATGAGTACTGGTGACTCAGGAGAAACACCTGACCACTGTACCAGACATGTTTAAAGTGTTCTGTTTTTCACACAACTTAGAAAGAAGAAAATGGATTTACTAATGAAAAATTTAGATGATTCAACAATTCCTAGTAATGTCTAAGTATAGTTACCAGAGGTTAATTACTTTAGAATGAGTCAATAAATTCTGAATGAAAACATAATTTTGCGTTATTATTACTAGCATTATTAGCTCCCCACAAACAAAAATAAATTAGTTCTATTCCTTAATTCATGTTTTACATTATGACTGACCTGAATGTAGTCCCTCTCATTTATATATACTTGATTTTTTCTCCACTCCTACCTCAATCTTCTCCCATATTATTTATTATATGATTTTGTATTATTTATTATAAATAGATATAGAAATTTTATTCATCAGTGAAATAGCATATGTGACCACTACTCTATGTCATTTATGGTAGTAAATCCTTGAATGCTCAACTTATACAGAGAATTGGTACTTTATTGGCAAAATGGAACACTATCTTTAATTCAAAATTCTTATATTTGCCACATATGGTCATTTTTTAAAACAGTTAATTTTTCTCTTTTTTAGATGAGGCTATTGAAGAAATAATAACATAATTCAAATGTTAAATAATAAAAATGAATTTGAAAACTAAAAAAAAAAAAAAAAGCTTTGGAATGTTACAGACCTATGTTCAAAAGTTCTTCCCAAACTATCTACCTCCCAATGAATATTCTTGTGAGTCTGGAAAATTCTGAATAGCTCAGTGCTCTAGGAAATGTATAAAGCCTTTTTCCCTGCTGCTCTTCAGACTCTCATTATTGAGAAAATGTCTGGCTGCTTTGAACAAGCATGCCATGTGAAATTTTGGATGCTTATCTTAATAGAACTCAAAACCTTTCCTATAGATTCACCCCTCATTGCTCCCAATAATGCCAAATGCTATAGTCCAGGCAGATGTTTATTATTTTTTATATGAGAAGGCATTACAGTAGGGCCATTTCTCAATGGAGCAGGGGAATAAAAGTTTCCTGAATTGTAGTACCTTCTAGAGCACCATGTAATGAGCTCTTAGAAGACATCTCAGAGCTGCAATTCCAAATCCTGTTTAATCATCCATGCACAGTCCCCAGGGAAACTGCAAGCAGAATCAGGGCTCCTCCTCCTCCACCCAGTGCATCACCAGGAGCGGCTTTCTGGTTAGGATCCTCCAGGAGAGGCCACAGAGCACGCATAGCTGCAAAGCTGGGTCTCTGCATGTCAGCGCAGAGCAAACGACAGAATACAAATCATCAGCTTTGCTTCGTGAATGTCTTTATTTACGATGCTGGGGAGGATTAAAGCGAAAAAAAGGACTGCAGCATTTGCATTGTATCTGTCACTCACGGCTCCAGTTTTGATTCCTGCCCTGTAAATGATCTTGCATTCTCGATTTTTTTTTTTTTTCTATTTCTACAAGGTTACCATCAATGTCAGCAAAACGTTAACTTCAAGGAAGCATCCTACGAGGCTTGGCAGGCTTGGTGGGAGGAAAGAACGTCTCTTAAAGAAAAAGGGTGACAGCCTTCATCCAAACTAAGCCTATCTGATTGCTCAGAGGAGGCTAGACTTTCCTAGGCAATTTCAAATGAATTAAACATAAAATTTGCTTCTGACCTGGTATTTTTCTTTAACCAACAACATCCCCAGCTCAGTTTACAGTGCATGTAGACCTTTGCGAGAAGGACATACATCTTTGTTGGTTCCTTTCAGAACCCCTGAGAGTAAGTGAACCCCCTCCCCCAGATGGACAGAAATCTCCCGATTTTGACAGTGATCCTTCTCTGGGAACCGTAAAGCTCCAGCTTCAGCTCCAACACGAGGGGCTTTGTTAGGTTATGTGGAATGCAACTGACTGCAGTCAGCCTGCCAAACTGGGGGAGATAATCCATGAATTTATATTTATGTCAGGCTTGTAGCTGATGCATAAGGTTCGTACAAAGGTTACTCCTGAAGAAATGTCAATCAGCTTCACTCCGTACTCCAGTGATTTCTGCTTCTTCCAAATACTGCCCTCTAGAACAATAACACGATTCTAAAATAATGAGTAAAATATGATTTAATAGCCCATCCCCTGTAGCATAATGATTATGCATCTCTTCTCTCGTAGCTCCCCTCAGTAGGAGGACAATTGACCTTCACCATCTCTTACGACCTCGAAGAGGAAGAGGGAGATACAGAAAATGTTCTCCAGCTGATGATCATCTTAGAGGTAGAGTACTGAGCACATCACTTGCAACTTTGAGAGCTTTATATTATTTGAGGTTACGCTTGGCATATGTTAAGTGAGTGGTCTGACTACGTACTAAAAAAAGAAAAATATTCCTCATAATCTTTTAAGCCACTGCTGCGTTTCATTCTTAGTTATATTTAGGAAATGGTGTATATTAATTAGCTTCTAATAATAAAGGAGATCCTTAAAGCAGGCCTGAAATTTAAAGTTAGTGCATGATGATCAGATCTCCAGTAAGTATGATGAGAATGGGTCAGTGGATGTGGTTTGTAGAATTGTACTTTTTCCTGTCTCCTTTTGTTTTCACATAGCTTTTATATTTTCTACTTCTTTGAAGTAGACGAGAAATTCATTTAGTTAAATCCTGACTTCAAAATTCTAGTTTTTAGTTAGGTAAGGAAGATATTCAGGAGAAACGACATCCTGAATTTCCCAAATCCTGGAAGCCCAAAGCTGTCTGAGAGGCTCTCTCCCATCTCTTCTCACGCCTTTTCTTTCCAGTGACTATGTCCACCCCCCCCCAGTCGTGCACACATGCATATTCACGGTTCTAAATGTGGAAATGTGGATTTGGCACCCAGTTTTCTGTTGTCCTTCCTCTGGGACATTTCATGCACGTGAATCAATCACAAAATCCTTTTCTCATAATGAATATTTTCCAGGATTGGATGAAGTGGTATGGAATAGACAATATAGATACCAATATAGTTATAGATGTGTGTACATATTCACACACATATACACATACAACTAATATATAGACCTGTATGTCTACATTTACGTCTGGAGAAATTATAAATCATTAATATGAATTGGCTAAGAATGTCAAGCGTCGTAGTTCAGTCTCTGTATCCCTCATGATACCACTATCCCATTGTAAGCGTTAGATGTCAGACCTGTTGTGGTTTTTTCTCCATGTATAGTCTTTTAAAATCATAGCTTAGCTAAAATTTCCTTCCTTAATCTTTTAAAACCCATACTCTTCATAAAATGTTTGAAATCTATAACTTTGCATATATATGCAGAAATAATCACATATTATATATGCATTGCCAAGTAAATTAATGGGAGAAATAAGATCATTCAAAACCAAGAAGCTTATACTTTGTAGGACATCTAGAGAGGCTAATATGGGGCTGGGGGTTTAGCTCAGAGGCATAAGTGCCTGCTTGGCAAACACAAAGTTGTGAGTTCAATCCCTGGTAGGGGGGGGGTGGGGGGGGAAGAAAAACAAAGGCTAATATTTAGATTACATTGTCTCTTGTTCTCTTCAAAATAGCTGTTCATGCCCTCTAGCCACTGTTGATCTCCTACAGTCTTGTTGTGAAGTCCCATAACACTTTCATTCTTTTGTTTTGATTGGTTTTATACTATGTTGTTTTGTTTGATTGTATTGAGGGTGAAGGTATGGACAGCTGTTTGGAAGAAAACAAGAGACACTACAATAGCCATTGTTGATTTCCTGATGTCTTCTTGTGAAGTACTGTATTGCCTGCATTGTTCCGATTTGCTTTGTTCTTTTTTGTTTTGTTTTCTTCTCTTTAACATAAAATAAAAAATTAAAAAATAGATTGCATGGCCTTCTCTTCACTTGTGCAAGCCATATGCTGAATGACTAAGAAAGTCAACTAAAATGAAAAACCTCCCAAGGGCAATCCATAGGGTGAAGATCCAAACACAGATATGTTATGTTATGTTGTATTATTTATGTTATGTCGTTATGTTATTATTTTATTTTCAACCTTTCGAGACTCTGCCATTTCACCCTTACACATTTTCTTCTCTTTAGGGAAATGGTTTGAGAATCAACACAGCCCAGGAAGAGGTGTATCTGCAACCATCTGAAGAATATATCAATATCTTGTCGCTTAGAGAAGACTCATTTACTGTACATGGCACAAATTTCCCAGTCAGTAGAAAAGATTTCATGACCCTGCTCACGGATCTGAAGCGAGTACTCATACAAATCACTTACAGCTTTGGGATGGATGCCATCTTCAGGTAACGTCGGGAACTGCATCTGCCAGTGTGTTCAGTTATCTTGGGGCAAATGAGCGTGCTGAAGAGGAAGTTTTATTTAGAGGTGTATTGTTTCAAAAGGAAGATTACATGGCAGTGGTTTTCTGAAAGTTGTTTCAATTAAGCCTTTCAAAATGTTAAATACTCAAAGTAAATATGCCTCGGGTCTTATTATTCTTAATAATTCCTTTGCAGTTCTATGAAAGCAAGGGATTCACACATTGTCAAATGCTATCCTGGAAAATAAATTCTTTTTTACAATGACTCAGATGGTGGAAGATTAAAGAGGTATAATTTCAGGGTAGTTGTATTCAGAAAGTGGTAGGTAAAATATTTTCTCTCATTAATTAGTTCCTGGCTTAAAGTATCATACTTGGATTGTGATAAGAATTTTAAGCCTCATCCTTTAAACAACCACACATCACTTTACAAAATGCTGTGAGATTACAAAGGCTGCACGATGGAAAGAAAGACTGAGGGCTTTGGAGTCAAAATGAATACGAAGCTGTATTGCTTACTTTTTGCATGACCTTTGGCAGGTGATTGGTGGGTGTGGAACTTCAATTTTAAGTATAATGTACAATTATGCCTACTTTTCAGGATGGCTGTGAGAATTACATGTGATAAGTATGCAATGTGTTCATTACCTACAATACTTTAAGAAATTAGTTTCTTCTATATCATGTTCCCTTGAAAAAGAGAATTCTCTGATTTAAACCAAACTTGCCCATATCTGACTGTAGGCCATTAAATTTTCCAGTTTTAAATCAATGGCATTTTGTCTGACAAAATACTATTTGTACATCTAAGTGAATTATCTTCCTTCTCTTTTACCCGTTATTTGCTTGCTCTGGCGAGTCTGTCTTTCACTTGCAATATGTCAACAAATTACAATCATTATTGCCATTTCCCAAAGGAAGGGACTGCAGGTGCATAAACAAAATCGCTGCAAATGATGCCCCTCTTTTGCGTAGGCACTTCTGCTGGAAGCTGGGGTAGTAAAGTGCTGTAAAGATGCGGAGCAGCACTTAGGAACTAATTATGCCTTTTCCATTTTGTGAATAGAGATTGTCATGATGTTGCTACCGTGCAGAGAGGTGAGTCCTCTAGCTTTCAAAATGAATGACAAGCAGATTGACAAAACGTGGCCAGGGGGCTTATTTACTTTTGTCAGCATCTCCTCTTGGGCTGGTTAATCCAGAAGACACTTCCCCTTGATTTATGTCAAACAGTTTCAGTGTCTGCTCCTCTTAAAATCATCAGCTTTACTGGAAGCCCTCTGAAATCTTCCCATACATGAGGGATGCGTGCATGGATCATAGCTCTGTGAGTGGAGCTGGCTCAGGAAGGTGGCTGGTTTCCTCCAGCTACATCACTACAGCCCTGTATTTCAAGAAATAAAAGCTGGTGTCAGATTGGAAGCTCTGCCTCATTTTCAGGTGAGCTGAAAGTCAGCATGAACCCTGAGCCTGGAGCTTGTTATATTTTATTTACCTCTCATCTGCTAGTAGATAGAGTCACATTTGTAAAACATCACTTCAATTGATTTCAGCTTGTCTTGCACAGTAGGCTCTTGACTTGGTATATTGCTTGTGTGCAAACACTAGTAAATTGAAGCTATCACAACAAAACTCATGTTTATCTTTATTTAGGGGCGATTTACTTCCATGGTATTTCTCTCAGCGAACAGAGCAAGGAGCTTGCCCAGTTCTGTGCTTAGGTGGAACTGTGACAGGGAGGGAAAACTGGGCTGTAGGTCAAGGCTTTTGATTTTTTTTCCAACTCAGCAGTTTAGTGGTTGTAAATATAAGTATGACCTCGACCTCTTTGTAGTTCAGTATTTCTCCTCTAAAATAAAGATGACATTTGCACTGCCAGTTTGGACTGGTCATGGTGAGATCTCAATTAGCTGTTAAAGCACTTTTCAAATGGAAAATTAGCAAGGAAGTCTGAAGTATTTCTGGCTGCCCTATCTCCCACCAGGGGTTAATGTTTCTTCCAAGTACCATAGACTTGCAGAGGTCTAGAAAAAAGCAGCCATTGCTATTTGACAGTTCTGACAGTCCTGTCACTCTTTCCAGGGTGCTGAAGACCATGGAATAAAATTAGTTGATTTCCTTTTTCATATCTTCTCTAGTAAAAAGAGGAAGGAAAAATTTTTTTATTCTTTTTTTTTAAAGAATATAAAAGAAATCGACCTACCCCTAACTCTGCAAACATTTTTCCATTCTACAGAAGATCCTTTTACGGGTCACAAATTTCCAGTCTCCGTCTTGGAGATTATTGCGTCTCTCGACTCTCAAGGATAAATGTGACCCTGCCTCTTGGTTGCCCAATGAAATGTGTACAAATGTGATGTCTATTTTGCTTTTCCTTGGGAGGAACATTAAAATCTGCCAGGGTGAGACACTCTGGAGCTTATTCGCCAACTAGAAGATCAAACGACCTGAAATACTGACAGCTCCTGGAGGTCAGCTGCCCCGGTTGTTTTGATCTTCTGGTTGCTGAACAAATGTTTATTTTGTAAAGTCCTCTGCAGGCCTGAATTACCTCTGGGAATCTGGAGTTGTTATCACAGGATCGCTGAACCCATCATGACTTTATCATGACACTCTTCATGTCTTTATTGCTTGAAAATGCAGAATCTTTTAAAGACAAAAAATCTTTCCACATAACTTTTACAATAACTTCAGGGTTTTATATTGAAACTGAGAGAGAAAATTCATGTCAAAAATAATCTAGGAAAATTCTTGTGAACAAAAGCAACTTGGACGATCGAAATCTTTGTGGGTGCATAGGGTGTTTCTACCTTTAACATTAATGATCCAAGCATTCACATTTTAAAGACTTTCTGCTGATAAGGACCCAAGGATTTAAAAAGATCTACACAATTCGCTTAGCACTGAGGTGCTGGTGAAAGAAACAGTCAATCTCAAGTGTTTTCTCCCCATTATCTCTGACTACTTCCCAAAACTTTCCAGTAAATATTGGATTCATTCAGTCTACAAATATTTACTGAGCATCTCCCACATATGTCTGTGTAAATCTCAGTTCTCTCTCTCCTGTAAAATGACAGAAAAATGACATCTAACTTTCAAGATTGAACATGAAGTGAGAAAATAATGTCTACAAATAATGTCTACACCTGATACCCTGTCTACTGTGTACTGAGAGGCAATGCAGGGTAACAAGATGATCGCTGGTTTCAGAGTCACAGTTTGGTGTGAATGTGGGCTGCACCATTACTGACTAAACTTTCTTGTACAAGACACTGTACTGCACTGGGTTTAAGGTTCTTCATTTGTAAGTATTGGTAAAAATTTGTTTTTTATGTAGAGTTTGTAGACACTGAAAGGGATGATCTTTCAAGCACCCATACATTGCACAAAAGACAGGAGTAGAAAATATTAATACGTGGTGCTTATGGGCTAAGTAGTGAGGATTCAAAGAGAGTTAAAATTATCATTGAATTCAAAGAGAGTACAGTCCAGAAAAGGAGGCAGGTGTGTACATCAAATAACTTGTGCAACAGAACTGTATTTAGTACTTGCTAGTAGGGAAAGGAGAAAGAGATGGGCTCTTATGTTAGCGTCTAAATTATTTTTGAGAAGTGACTACAATAGGATGAGGTTTTACACTAACTTCCCTCCTTGAAGTGGGACTCGACATGTGTGAAGGGATCGCATGTGCTTCCCTAGAGGGCCCCTCAGACACTGGCTGCCCCCGGAACAATCCTGTTGCCTCTTTAGAATGGAGGAAAATCATCAGGCTCCTTTAATTGAGTGATATTTTGCAGAATTTTTAAAATAAAGATGCTGTAAGAAGTTCTGAATCACCTTCTTGAGTTTTGACAAAAACAAAGCACTTTAACAACAATAAAATCTTTATAGTGGTTTACCTAAAGAAACAGTCTTTTAAGTGGAACACAATGGAAGTCTTCAAACTAAAAAAGAAGATGGCTCAAATAAATTTTAAAACACAATTATTTAAAACAGAGAACCAACGTTCTTTTTTAGTTTCAAAGAAGAGTTCTATGGCGGGATGTGATGTTGTTTTAGTGGAATATAGCATGTCTAACTCTGGTGGGAAATACAGTAAAACAAAAATATATTAATACCGCACCCAGACAATGTTTCCAATATGAATTCAGAGTTTTCCATAGAAGCTTATGTAATTACATCTTTTCCATCATCTTATCTGTAGTTTCAAGACAATAATGCAAGAAATTCAGCTAAAGAATTTGACTTAGTTGAAAAGTCTTCGAAAGTTCATGCTTCTCCAAAATTTAGTACTATGTTACCATCAACATTTGTATTTAAATGAATGCAGCCTCGTATTGAGGAAAGAAAATGACCATATTAAAGAAAAAAAAAAAATAAACCACAGCCTTCTTCATGACTAACACTTAAAACTGTTAGACACATTAAAATCCCATTTAACAAATAGCAGAACCTAATGAACATTCAGTTTGTTCAGTGAATACTAAATGGAATATCACTGGGAGGAATGTTTGAGTGGTGAAATTTCTCACAACTCAGAATGGTTACACAGATTAAGAAGGTGACTGTCTGTTCACAAGACAAATGAAATCTGACAGTTAACTGAAAATATTTTTGCTTTGTGTCTTTATTTTTAAAATTGTTCCTGAAATTAGTCACTTACTTATTGTCTATCTTGAAACTTTCAGCATATTTCCTTTAAGTTTTGTGTATCAATTTTATATTGGAAATCCTGGAACTATATTTGCATTTACCAACTTGTTATTTAGTAAACTGTGAAAATCTCTTGTGTGATAATCAACTAATATATCAAGAGTTAAATAATCCATTTATACAATTAATGATCAGAGTAAGATAGTATGCATTTGACAGTCCAGTAATTCCAGTCATTTAGATGTCATGATAAATGTAGGTGAATCCGAGCCTCTGGGTTTCAGTTCTAATGATGACCTTTTTTTTCCCCATTTGCTTTCTGTGTCAACTCAAACAAGTAATTTAGCTCTTGTCAGATTTTATTTATCCAACAAATGGATTATAGCTTTCATTTTATCATTTACCATAGTTATTTAATATCATATTCCATTCACCCATTCATTTATGTAATTATTTAATGTCAGTTACTCATTTATATGTGTATCCATCCATCAGTCCTTCCATCTCTCTATCCATCCATCCATTTGTTCAACCAACAAAAATGTACTGAGCATGAATCATGACAGTTATGCTCATATATAGATGTCACAGCAAGGTTTCTGTTCTCAGGAATAGCTCATAATGTGTGTCAAAAGGAGTGAACCCTGTATTTAGTTTAGTGTCTCTTCTAACCTCTATTGAACTCAGAAGACTTTCCAGGCCTAGAAATTCTACTTCCAGGTATATGATCCAAAGATAGTTCTGTCTCTCACTTTCTCTCTCTCTCTCTCTCTCTCTCTCTCTCTCTCTCTCTTTGTCTCCATATATATATACACACACACATATATAGTATATTTACAGCAGCCAAAAAGTGGAAACAAAGAAATAATCCAAATACTCATCCACAGATAACTGATGAAAAATGCCATGTGCATATATATATATATGGTAACTCTAGGTCATGTAGAAAATGAAGTACTGATATGTGATACAATAAGGATGAATCTCAAAAGCATTGAGTGACATAAAAGAAACAAGATACAAAAGCCATATATTGGATAATCCATTAAATATGAAATATCCAAAATAGGTAAATCTGTGGTGACTGCTACAGACTAGTAGTTGATGTGACAGAAGGAAAAAGAGATTAAATTTTTACTGCTTTGTTGGTATGAGATTTTCATTCATGCTGATGCAGATGTCTTGCATCTAGGTAGAGGCAATGGCTGTACACCTTTGTGAATATAGCAGAAGACACAGAATGAACGCTTTAAATGGGTGCTTTTGTCAGTAGGTTTCATGTACAGCAGTAAAAAGAAAAAGCAGTGCTTGGGGCACTACATCTTATCATGAACAAGGTTGGCTGGCTGGGAAAGGGGACCATTCCAGATTTTCAAGTTACCCATATAACATAAGCACTGTAAAACAATGATTTTTAATGTTTCTAGTGTATCACCTCCTAGGATGTACATGCCATGCCCCTAGAACAGACAGCATTCAAGAAATAGGGTTGGGAAAATTCATCTGCCCTTAAAAATTATGCCCTGTTATCTTCAAACTAACCATCCATGCCATCAAATATAATAAAATTGAACCAACCAAACAGAATAAAATCAATCAAAACAAAAAAATGAAAACAATGCAGGACTTTAAAACAAGATAATGTGGAATTAACAATGGCTACCACCTTCCATTTTTAGATGCCTCCTCCCCATTCACTTTCACAACATCTACTGTGCGTCTTGGATCCCACTAGCTCCTTCAATTTTTTGGGAGTCAACACTATGTTCACCTACATGAGTCCAAACCATTTTACCCACGAGCATGATCACAAGTTGCATCCATACACCACTGGTGATTTTCTATTATCTTGTTCTGAAGTCCTGTATTGTTTTCATTGTTTTTTATTGGTTTTATTCTATTCTGTTCTGTTTGATTTTATTATGTCTAAAGGTGTGAGCAGCTATTTTGAAGATAACAAAAAGCATTATGTAGCCATTGTTGATTCTTTATTACCTTGTTTTGCTGTCCTGTATCACTCTCACTGTTTTGTTTTAATTGACCTTATTCTATTTTATTTTGTTTATTTTATTCTCTTAAAAATAAAAATTAAAAACACTTTTTAAAAATTAAAAATTTTTAAAATTTCAAAAGTCCTGATCTTTTGAATGTTCTATTTATACCTCAGCACTGTCTTTTAAGATTTCTATTTAGATCCTTTTTCTGCTTTTTACTATGTGAATTCACAGGTGTTCCACAGGAGTTTCTAAAGCCTGGGATCAGTAAAGTGGAAGAGAAGGCAATAAAGATTGTAGAATGTTCTGGCTGAAGTGTACACAATGTTGACACTTCTGAAAGCAAATTTTAACCTTGTAGTAAGCCCTTTAGCTTTGCTTCGGCTTGATTACAGCACAGAGCTCCAAATCTGCCAAATTCTTTTGTAAGTGGGAGTTCTCTCATCAGTAAATATCCACTATAAATCATTAGAAAGAAACTCAAGATGAATACCCTGGCGAAGAGTGGGTTGATAACTTTCTCAGGTGAAGCAATGCCCTATTATGTGTTGTGAAGTTTTAGCAATCATTTTTAAAGCCTATGATTAGTATTGTCGAAGCAATCGTGTTCTGTTTGGTCTATTTTATCTTTTTTTGCCAATTAACAATAAAAATTTATTTCTCACTATTCTGGAGGCTGGAAGTCCAATATCTGGGATTGTTTTCATTATTTATTTCTCTGTAATCTTAATCTCTGTAATCTGGTTCATAAAAATATTATTTATTTTCATATGCTAATTTTGTGTTCTACAACTATACTTGATTCATTTATCTTATCTCATCAGTCTTTGGTAGACTCCTCAGGCTTTTCTGTATCTAGAATTGTATAATATCCAGACATGAATAAGTTGATACATTTTGTTTCTTTTGCCTAATTGCTTTAAGTATTCACTTAATTTTGTGCTTTAAGAATTTAAAGCACAAAATTCTGGTTTTACAAAAATTCAATTAATTTTTCCTGTACTAGTCATTTTTATTGTTTCAACAATCAATGAAAATATATTAGTAAAATATCTAATATTTGGTTATCGCCTATGTGTGTTATCTATTGTACTACAATCCATATTTATGTTATTTAACCGAGCTCCTGGTGTATGGCCTGGTTTGTCATCCCTATTGTGGGGATGTGTACATTGAGCCCTCGACAGAAACATTTTTTTCCTAGGTCACAAAAGTAGTAAATTTCACAGCCAGGATGTGAATCATGTTCTGATTGACTCTAAGGTTTCAGTTTAGATTCCTTTCTGTATCTTAATGTATTAACTCATACATATTCCAGGGGTACCCAGTGTTTAGACTGTGTTCTTAACAATAAAGTTTTTTTTTACATACTGTGTTATAAAAATAGCAAAAGTCAGTAAGAAACTAATAATGGTTTTTAAATTTTTGAAAGTATATTAATGCAGGAAATATGCATTTGTATGCATCTATTATGTAGACAGAATTTTTTTTTAAATTTGCAATTTGGTCAAACCAACTTTTCTCAAAAATAATAAGTAATAATAAATCACTCTGCTAAAATCACCAGATGGTACAGAAGTACCAATAAATGTAGCCCATACATATAGGAAATAATCATTCAATTTAGGCTAAAAACAATTTGAGGAAATAGTTCTAATTCAAATGAGCACTTGAGAAAGTTTTATTTGTACTTCCTTCAAACATGTAGGCTTATCTCTGGGGATAGAAGCCAAAATTACTTCCATGTTTTACTTCAGTTTAAAACCTGCGATTTAACATTGTTATAAGGACTGTTCAAAACTCATGGTGTGCATTTAAATAAAAATATTGCATTGAAAGACACATTGCTCTTAATGTCTCTCCGCATACTGCCCCTCACTTTGAACATACTTATCCCAGCATTTTTGTCACTTTTGGAAGCAGATCTAGAAGTTCCCCTTTCATGAGTGCTTTTAGGAAGTGTGATGAAAAATACTGCAACTGTTGCTGCCAGGTGTCCTCCAAAAGAAAGGGGCGTTCCTGAGAGCATTCCAGGGTGCCCCCACCAACCTTATTCACTGCCTCTGCCCCTGTGAAACCATGCACTATTCCCCAAAGCCAAAATCATCATGACAGGCAAATTTTTTAATTGACTCGGGTCCTCAAGGCAGCCATAATAGCACAACTATAGACACGCGCAAAAGAGTATTTCCAGAGCTGTTTCAGAAAACAACAGCAATGCTGGGATAAGCACAACTGAAAAGAGGGGGAGTACTTTCAGGGGGACTGATGTGTCTTTTACTGTAATAATTTATTTTTAAAACATTTAAATATTCATTACATTGTTTGATCACACCGTATATTGTTACCTTTTGCTTTTTTGAGTTTATATTGTAAAGTAAGAAGTCAGAAGAATATGCTTTTTAAAAATTCTTTCAGCTCTATGGTTTCGAACTCTACCTCTGTCCTTCCCAACTAAAAATTAAAGCACATTGCCAGGCACCAGGAAATGAGGAGGAGCGTTCTTCTATCTTTCCAGGATTTGTGTGGTGGTGAAATCAGTGCTTCTAAATGAGCTGAATTACCGTAACACAGTCTAACTCAGCACCCTCAGGGAATGAGTGCAGGACCCTTGTGGAACCCAAGCCTCAAATGCTCAATCCTGAAATGGTGTAGTGTTTGCCTGTGAACTCTACAACTGTTTCATAGACTTTCAAACCTCTCTTGATTGCTTGTGACATTCAGTACAATGCAAATGCTTTGGAAATTGATGCCACTCTATATTGATGTTATTCAGGTCTATATGTGTTCGGTACAGATACGAATTTTCCCCAAATAGTTTTGATCTACAGTTCATTGAATCCAAAGATGTGGAACCCACAAGTAGCAAGCGCTGGCTGGATACCGAGTGCCAGTGAAGTCGTGGGTGTCCGAGAGACTTACTTCTCGGCGTGGACAATTGCCTCAGAGGAACACGGGCGGCTGTGCCTTCCTGCAGCTCTGTAGTACCTGGATCACTTGCTGATCATTCCTGTTCCTCCTTCCCCAGGTTGAGTGATGTCAGCCTGGAGTCTGCTGTCCCCTCTCCGACGGATGGAAGCTTGGCTACCGCTGTGGAAGTCTGCCAGTGTCCGCCAGGGTACAGTGGCTCCTCCTGCGAAGTAAGTTTGCCTGGGTGCAGCCTTGCCTGGGTCGTTCTAAGTTTCTCCCAACAGTGCTGTCCAGAAAATGTTCCAAAAAAGGTGGGTGTTTTCCCATCAGGAACTGTGTTAACAGATGGTACTGGTGAAAGTCTATCAAAAACGCATGTCTTTCAAATATCATTCTGAAATTATGTTTCCTTTTGAGGTACTTTGCATTATTGTAACTGAAAATTTGATGTTCCATACTTGTTGCCTTTCGATTTAATCAGTTGCGTGCTGGATGATAGCAGAATACATTTCCAAAATATCACTTTATTTCCATTTCAGTGGGTATGCAGAACTTACATTTCTTTTTCCTTCTCTGTCATTTTTAATTCTGTGTATAACAATTTTCCTTTGCCTAGTTCCTAAGAATATAACCAACTCTCATCATGTGAAACATACAGTGTTTAAAATATCAAGAATATAGGACATGTAAGAAATGCCCTGTTCTAAGTACATTCCTTTCTGGTTCACAGATTTGTGGCAACCAAAATTCAACATATTTATTGTTGTCTGTGTAGTATCTATTTCTCAATAGCACAGTCTGTCATTTTCAGGTGATAATTTTTACTGACTTAAATATATAAATATATTTTCTTTTAGGTAGTTTAAAAATTGATTTTATTTGAAGCCTGGTCAAAAAATGTAAATGCCATTTCCCTCTTGGGAGAAAAGCTTACAAATAAATAAAAGCTTACCTTAGTTAAAATAGTGCCTTTAAGGAGTGATTTGAGTGAACAGAGATGTTTTACTTCAGAATTGCACCCAATTATGACATTTACAGACATACTCTGGGTATGTCTTTTACATTTTAAAATACTGCATGCTTCCGTGGAGTATGCAGACCTTAGAGTTCATATTCTTGACAAATGTGTTTTCTTTAACTGGGCTAAGATTTGCCTATCTAGAAGTAATATGAAATGTAATTCTTTGAAGTATTCACTTTTCAAAAATTTTTAGGAGAGAAAAGTAGTCAAGAATATGCATTACCTGTGTCAACCTGAATTTGATTTTATATATGAAATACATATTTTATTTAAGGAAGTATTCTATTGTTACAGTCTTCCAGTTTTGATTTCCAAAGAGACAGATCCCTTTGAAGCTTTAAATTCCCATTTCAACTGGAATAATAAATACTTTGATACTATTCTTGCTTAAATATATTCCATAACATCCTGTCTTCTTCATTATCTTTCATTTGACAACCACGTGCTCATTGGGTGAAAGATTATCTGAATATTAAAATTGTTTATTTGGCTATGTTTTTCATCCCTCTTTTCCTTCTTAAAAATATTTTTGAAAAATTCTATATATATTTCATAAATCATATAAATTTATATAATTTTAAATTCATGAGATAATCTCAAAGAACTAGTGATCTATTCAGGGACAAAAATAAATACCTATGAAAATTTGGGTCACAGCACTTTAAAATTAAAGGACCAAAAAATGGCACATGTCATAAAAGCAATTATCATTCCAAGTATTGTGCTATTCTGGTAAAAGGGAGACGTCTGATCAAGTGTCCTAAAGATGCCAGCTAGTGATAACAGAGACAGAGAGGCAAGTATGGAAAAACAAAGAAGCAGAGGAGGGGATTACAAGCTTCTTATAACCCTCACAAAAGAATTGTCTGAGAAAAGTTACTTTAAAGTATATAAAAAGTTTAGTTAAATCAGGGGACAATGAACTCTGGAATGTGGGGATACTGACTACTTTATTCCTGTTATTCTCTAATAATTCCTTTGATTTTTTTTTATCAAAACTCCCTGTCTTGCTGGGCATGGTGGTACACACCTGTAATCTCAGCACTCAGGAGGCTGAGGCAGGAGGATCACTGTGAGTTCCAGGGGTACTGGGGATACATACGTGGGTTCAAAGCCAGCTTGAACTGCATAATGAGACTCTGTCACAAAGAAATAAAAAATCCTTGTGTATACTCAGTATTACCCAGTCCATTCATGTACTAATTTTTTAAATTAAGTATAGTTCATAAGGTTAGTCATTCCAGTATTTACATCACTAAAATCCTGTGATCCCATCAATGCTAGTAAACTACAAAGACAACTTTCTTTTTACTATCTTCCTCTAGCCAAAAACAATTAAATTATTCCATTAAAATTTTAACCATTCCCTTTTACTTCATTTACTGTCACAATATTGATTCATAATCTTTCTTTTTTGTCTCATTTTTATTTGATATTTGCAATAACCAACTTTTTCTCTCTGGACCAAATACTCAACATACACTTACAGAAGGAAGCATTTATTAGACTCACAGTTTCAGAGGGTTCAGTCCATGGCCTCAGCTGCAAGGCAGAAACATCATGGTAGCGGAATGTAGTGAAACACGGTACTTGCTTCATGGTACTTGGAAAGCCAAATAAAGGAACACAGGGTGGAAGAGGACAAAGATCAGATGTAGCACCCAAAGTCTCACTTCCGTGAGCCTCCTAGACACACGCTGAAGTGTTCTTTACTAGTGCCCTGGGAAGCTCCCCAGCCAATCAAATTAAAATTGTGCTCAACCATCACAATCTCTTGCAAATTCCTGTACCATTAATCTTTTAAATATATTCTTATCTTCCCAGTGCTGTCATAATTCATTGTGAGGAAGTAAAAATGAAATGAAGTATTAAAGTTCTAGGCCAAATCTGTTTCCTCTTCTATATGGTGGAGTTAATGTTAACTACCTTGTTAGAAGTATTTGTACATTCACTTAGCTAACATTCAATGAATGTCAATTTTGAGACAATAGGACCCTAGATATAGAGGATAATGTGATGAGCAATTGGCATATAGTCCTTAAAATACCAGCTAAAAGAAATAGTATCATGCAGAAGCACCAGGGGTGAATATGCAAAAATTGGATGAGAAGAGAGGATGCACAAATGTGGAAGGCCTGCTTTGCAAAATTTTGTCAGAAAAGACTTTCTGAGGTGGAGCTGTTAAATCTGAGTGCTGAATTTCAAGAGCTGTGTAAAAAGCCAAAAGCACGGTGCCTAGATCCGCAAGAACTGAAAAAAGACACAGGTGGCCAAAACTTAGTAAGCAGCAGGGAGAGTGCATTACAGAAAGCAGCCCACTCTGATGTTGTACAGATTCGAAATTTTGTTCTAAGTACTCTAGACGTTCATCCTAGGTATCTAGGGAGGATAGTGCCATGATTTGACTTATATTTTGGGGAAAAATGTCATTATGTCTATAGTATGAAAAACATTGTGGCAAAAAGACATAAATGGTAATAAAGAAAGAAAGTAATGTGCTATCTCAGCAGAGCACAGCAAAGCAATAGACTGTGTTGGGTTAATGGGAGTGCATGTAGATATTCATGGGCGTATCATTTATGTTGGTAGTAGAACCGATCGGACTTATTGATAGCCTATATGCCAGAAAAGAGCAGTTCTCTGGACGTGGTGCCACCTATTGAACCGGGGAATACTGGCTATTAAAAGAGAGAATCAACAGTCCATTGCAGAAATATTAAACTCAGAAAGACTGTGATGTACAAATTCCAGATAGAACAGAGATTAAATACACAAGGTTTGAGCTCAGCCTGTGTACCTGCTCTGCTAAGAATTTGGAAGACATCAAATGGCCGAACTAAGTACCCAGGAGAAAGTGTGAGAAGAAGAGAGAGCCACTCAAGCCCTGAGTGGCTCCCGACTGTGAATAGTGTCAGAGAAGACACCGGAGGAAATGTAAAAGCTCAGAGAGTGTGATTGTCATAGATGTTGAAACAATGAAGTTCTTTGAGAAAAAGTCAACCATCTCTGAGGATGGTTAGAGGCCAGATAAAATAGAGATGAGTTAAAGGATTGCCCATTGGATTTGGCCCCTGTAATTTGATGACAAAGGTGAGAAAAGTCTTTACGAAAGTGGACAACAGACAGATTACAATCAAATTAGATGTGGAAGGAAATTGGGGAAGAAAAGATGTTTTAGCATAGCTTTGCTGAAAAGAAAGGAAGCTGACAAGAAGCACAGTGCAATCAATGCTCAGGAAATAATTTTGTCATTTTTGTTATTCCTGTTAGTTTCTGTTGGAGACAATAGATTATTTTTTGAGATGATGATCATTATTTGACAGAAAAGAAAGCTTTTATGATGCAGCAGTGAGACGGAATGGTGACGGATCCCAAATACAAGTGGAGTGATTTCCTTTTCAAACAGAAATGATACTGCATTCCCCCTCCTCTTGTTCTTAGGGGGAAATTTGCAAAAATGTGTGGAGAGCGTTGCTTATTTGGTGGCTTAGTAGCAGGATGATGCTTCTGATGGCTTTAATTTTTTTGTAACAATTGAGGCAAAATCATGAGAGCAATGTGAGGAGTTGTGAAACTTTAAGAAAGGAGATATGATATGAATGGAATGATTCAAAATATTGGAAGTATATATTAAGGAAAACTCCATGAATGTCTGCCTCAAAAACAAAGAAGCAGTTCTCTTTCCCTTCTGAGTATCTTTAAGATCTTTCTCCTTTCTGCATATATAGCTTTACCAGTTGTTAAAATATATATTGCAAAAGGAAATCACTTCTAGACAGAATCAATAGAGGCAAAAAATTTAATAAGGAGGAATTATCAAAAATGTGTAGAAAAGGGATACTTTTGCTCATGTTAAGAGAAAAGTTGATCTCATTTTCAGATATGAAGGATCTGCATGTCTTTTTCCTCATGTGTTTGTTACTGACATTGGAATGGAAGAGTCCACATATCCTGGAGCAGAAGGCACATTTCCAACAACACACAGCACATTTCTATATACTTTATTACCTTAGTAGTTCTATCTTATTTCCATTTTCAACTAGAAAAGGCCTTTTTATGATATATGGTGTTGTATTTCACCACCCAGAAATAGTAAATAATCCATAAAATTACAACTTGCGAGAATCATATACTCCTAGAGGGCAGTTCATATTCACCTTGCTGACTTTACATCTCATCCAGTTTATACTGGATGGGAAATCCCCTGGAAGGGAAAATTAATTAGGGGTATTCCTGGACCCAGGACAGGCACCAAAAAACAGGTAACCTAACATCCATATATCCTGCTGTAATCAGAATTCTTGTTTTATATAATAAAGTGTTTCCCATTTTAGCGAGCAGTGATGACTATAGGCAAAGTTATCCTAGAACAGCACCATAAAATACACTCTCAAGGGAACGAGAATATAGGGCAAGTAATTCTCAAAGTATTCTGTTTATGTTTTTAAAAGCATAGTAGGAAGAATACTTTAGAGTAAAATACATGACTTACAGATTTAGAAACGAGCTGTATATGATATCAGAAGTAAGGCGGGGCTGCTCTGTGTCCCATAAATGATTGCAAAGGTTTTCTGAACGTCAGAGAGCTAAGAGCTTTCAGCATGTGCGATGCGCAGGTTCCTGAGACTCCCAATTGCCTGGGACGACGTTAGCTGCTCTCTGACTCGAGAACCCTTTTATGTCTACTGCTTTTCTCAGAACTCTTTTTTCTATTCTCCTGTCTGCTTTTTACTTTGAGACTGTCACATTTCAGGCCTTTATATCTGTGCTTTATCTTACCGTTTCAGAAGCATCTCCCTGCTAATGCTTCCTCTAATCTCGCACCTGCCCATAATACCCAGGTCAGTACAAAGCTTATGTCAGGAGTAAGATTGTGCTAGCAATGTTTCAATAATGGCCAAGCTTTGGCAAAGAACATTTACTGGGTGTGCTAACTGTTATTTTGTATTATTGGGGGGAAAATGGAACCTCTGTTCTAACATCGAAGCCTGACTGCAGCCTCAACTTTCTTTCAGTCCTGTTGGCCTAGACACAGGAGGGTTAACGGCACGATTTTTGGCGGCATCTGTGAACCGTGTCAATGCTTTGGCCACGCGGAATCCTGTGATGACATCACTGGAGAATGTCTGGTGAGCACTTTCTCCTTGGGGTGCTGATCCCATGGGCAGGGCTGAAGTCGCTCAACAAACCCTGCAATCTGGTTGCGACTTTCAAGAAGTGATTTGAGTCAAGAAGTTATTTGACAAGTGTCACTGTATTGAAAGAAGTTTGAAGCTTATAGGGCTCTTTCCTGGGAAAAGTGTCTGTGATAGTAGTCTAAAAATTGAATTAAAATCAGTTGCATCATTATAAAGCATGGCTAATGCTGGACTACGTATCTTCATACATACATGTGGTCAAATCTCCTCCATAAACCTACCAAAGTACCTTCTTCTAACCTAGGAAATGATTCATATCCCCATGATAGGAGAAGTGCAAAATATAACCTTTGTAACAAACATAATTTACTTCTTTAGCAATTCACTTTTTTTAAAGTGAGGACATAGTACCTATTTTTGTTTAAAGACTTTTAACATTTAACTATACGTGAAGTGTCATGAATAGATTAAAATAATAAAATTATATAATGTGTAATCGCAAGAGTTGTTTTTCCTTCTGCAATGAAGGCTATCTTTTTCACTGGAAAATAATGCCTACAAACTGCAAAACCCTTTGCATAAAGCTCAGACTTTGGACTGAGAATGACTCTGAACAGACACCTGTGACTAACTCCAGGCATGTAGTTGTGGGGTGCTCTGCCCTGGCAGGAGTCTGCAAACAGCACTCCTCAGCTCATTAGTCTTGTGGACATACAATCTGCCATGGTGGCAGTTCAGGAAGATGTGGTCCTCTGATTTCCCTGCAGAATCTAAGGCAGACTCTGCTGTGTGTGATTTTTAATGCTCTGTTTCTCTTCCCCATCACCCCCTCCTCTTTCTTTTCTGCTTAAAAGCTTCTGGGAAAAATCCAAAATGAAAAAAAAAAATCAGAGCCTTTGTTTTAGTGGAATTTGGCATTTAGGTTTATTGATACACTTTCAGTTTTCTCTGTATAAGATTTTGCTTAATTGCATTGCAGTTTAAAGCATGATAGCCTTAATTTTGGACCAGTAGTTTTTCAAATGGTGTTTTTATAAACAGAAAAACTAAACAATTTTCATTTTAATTATAGCGTACTCTTTTCAAGTGTACCTTGGGAAAATATTGAATTACCTTCAAACACTTTATTAATGTGCAATAGGAACTTTTCAGCTCAATACTAATGTGGGTTTTCTTTACTTAACTCTAAAAATACAAAAATATTTATTCCACAATTCCATCTTCATAGTATTTATAATGTTCCCTATGGTCATATCTCAAGTAGAATTCATTAGGGTGAAAGCAAATCAGCCTGAGGACCATTTTGTGATATTTCAAAAAATAGAAGCAATTTGTTTTCAAATAAGATAGTTTATTTTGGCATAATTTTGAGAGAAAGTAGGGAGGGAACAGTGCTGCCCTTTCTCCGAATGACACCTAGTGTATGGACTGTTTAGTAAAGTCGGATGAGGATCCATCTTCAAATTATGAAAGGATCTTGGACATTTTCATGATGTCGATGGAATGACCTGAGTTTTCCTAGCTCGTTGATAAATAGGTGATCATGTACGATATTTCCTGGGGATTTATTAATGCCTTTATCTCCTATAATATTCATAATTATTTTTATACCCTCTTTTGACCATATCAATTCTGGTATGATTCATGAGGAGAACATCTTTTAATATTGCATATAAAGGCATCTGTAATGTCTTATTGTTTTATTAATCCTGTACCTGAGTTGCTTCTTTTTTATTATTCAGGAAAATATTTTTTTACTCTTAAGTAGACAATTTATGGAATTGAGAGACAAGTTGGTTTTTGTTCTAGCTTGGGTTTTAAAATATTCCATTTAAAATTTACCAAAATATATTTTTTGTATTCAGAACAAAATTTGTACACCTGCTGAAATGGGGACATGTTTTAAAAGTCATTTCTACTAAAAATAAATTTGAACTGAGCCAGCAAAGATTTAAATCCACAACAGAAAGTTGCATGATGCACGTTGTTGTGATAATGACAGGAGCAACCCTTTGGGAGGCCCCGTGCCTCCTGGACACCTGTGTCTTCCCCACCTTGTCAGCCTCAAACTTTCAGCTTTTTTGGTTTTGATTTCAATTATGTCGATTGTGTAATATTGTTTTGTAGTTCTGCTTGCAAAAAAATGCTTGGGCTTTAAAATTGTGTTTTTGTTTCCATTGAATGAGGATGAAATGAGGTATTGTGAAAACTTCCCATACCTACTTCACTTTTAAATCAGGAGTAAAAGAACAGTTAAAGAAAACTCTCTCTGAGCTCAATGACTTTTTTCAGATGAGTTAAAAAGCTTATTTTTGACTTGGTCAGGCATAATCCATTTTCTGATCTTAATTTTTAAATCCCCTAAATTTTGACAATATAAGTTCATTTATGTCAACATGATAAAATGCAAAGAATTTTTCAAAAAACAAACAGTTTTAGGGTAAAGCATGAATTTAGCCAAACTTGGAAAGTGAAAGGAGGTGACAAAAAGATCCAAAGGGTGAAAATTTTTCCTAATAGATCCATGTTTTATACGTTAGTTCCTAGTATTCTCTGTTATGTAAACAACTGCTAATAATGAAATTGGCTTCATATTTTGCTAAATGTATTTTAAAATAATATAAAATGTTTGAAAAACATCAGATATTACCAATTACCAATAAAAACATCTTTCAACTTGTCACTGGTAAAGCTGGCATGGGATATCAGAGCTTGAAAACATCCTAAATTATCAACGTTAGCTTCTGTATTCAAAATTAGAACATAAATGGTAGGTTCAGCATTAAGGACTGGATTACAATTTAGATTTCTTTCACTCTGTAAATAAATCTGACTTCTCTAAAGACAATTAAAATTATGTGTTAAAAAGTGTCTTTTTTTCTATTTATTACTTGTAATTTAAAATGATGATTTTAAAAGTATATTAAAATAAATAGATGAGGATTTTCATTATTTTAGTCTAAAGGTTTCAATGGCCATCCAGTTGTATAAACTTTTAACCTGCATTTAACATTAATTTATATTTTAGCTATTTACATTGAAAATTTTGTCACTGGTCATAAATAAAAACTATATACTCTTGATTTCTGACAAATTCTTTTTAATGTGAGGAAAAGTTATCACTCCTTATCCTCATTCATTTTGAAGTATAATTTGATAATAATGATCTCTAGTGTATGGTTTTTGATAGAAATTTTATGTATTCTTTCTTGGATCATTTGGAGACTGAAATTATGTATACCTGATACATAACAAAACAAAATACAATTTTATCACATTGTGTTACTGGAAGTTTATAGATAATTCTATTATTTTGCTGACTGAATCATTCACCTATATACCAGTCTTCAGTTTTACGGAAGCTGTTTATCCTTAGGAATTGTCTGTACTCAGTATGAAGGAATCAAGTAAAAAATTATTTTATTTTGATTTTTGGAAGACATGAGTCTAATAATATCATTTCATTCTTCTTTTGAAAATGTCTAAGGGAAACTGTTAGGGGCCTTGTGCTTTTATTATCCATGATACATGTTTAAATTGTTTCAAACTTCTCCACCTTTAATTAGAATCAAGCAAAGTCTTCACAGATGTAATATAGGGAAGCACGTTCTGAGCCATCAGCATCCACTAAATACAGAATTAATGTCTGAACCTAGGGGGCGTGGTCTTGGGAGATTTGTGTGATTAGTTGCAGCTCTCATTAAAGCAGCATTTTTAAATTGAATAGTTGATTTTTAGACTTGGCTCCACTTTCCATTAAACATATGTCAGTTGAGATCTGTGACCCCCCATATACACGCTAATGGGTATTCCCGTGAGAAAATAAAGGGAAAAATTTGCATAACGAAAAAAATTACAATGAATTTCAGTCATCCTTCAGTAGGTATGCATATGCAAGAAACTAGCATATAGTTTATAAGCTAGATATTAAATTAACTTTCAGTGCTCTTTCCCTGTTGTAAAATTGACCATTTAATGTGGAGAAATTGCTCTTCCTGGCAGGGAACAGAGTAATGAGTTTGTAGACCTATTTTTGGCCTCATGTTGCTGCTTGAGCCTGAAATAATGAACACTGGTGTGCATTTCTTCCTCAGCACTGTAAGGATCACACAGGTGGCCCCTACTGCAACACGTGTCTTCCTGGTTTCTATGGTGATCCTATGCAAGGGACCGCTGAAGATTGCCAGCCCTGTGCCTGTCCACTCAGTGTCCTGTCCAATAAGTAAGTAACAAGCTGGCCATACAATGGGGTTTGGCAGCCAGTTCTACAAGTGTGCTTTTGATATCAGTGCACCCTTTTGCTTGTCCAACATAAGTAGGCAGTAAATAGATACATGAAATTTTCATAAAGACAATAGGAAGAGGGTTTTTGAGCATAAAATGTTTAATGTTATGACTTAATATTTATTTAAAATTTATTTATTGTCTTTTTCCTTTTTATTGGTACCAGGGATCGAACTCACAACTGCCTGCTTGTAAGGCAGGCGCTTATGCCGCTAAGCTAAATCCCCAGCCCCTATGACTTTATTTTTAAGGATTTTTAATATTTGGGCTCTAGATTTGATGACTTACTAACAAAAAGATGGAAATCAATTTTAATTTCTTTACCATTTCCAAATATCACACATATATGTGTGGTATGTGTGGATACACACACAGACACATGATCACTGATAGCCCGATCATTTGGGTTTTACTTCATGCTATATATTTGTAAATCATGGGAAAGTCTTAAACCTCTGAAAAGGCAAGATGAAAACTTCATCCAACTTACCTTCAAGCACCCTTTCTCTCCTTGGATTCTGAGATAATTTATCTCATATATGCATATATGTTTACATTATATATGCATCTTTTTAAATTATTTAATGAGACATTTTAGCATTGATTTAAAAGTATTGATCTATCAATGATATTTTCTTGCAACTTTTATTAGCCTTATAGGTTTTGAAAATTTTTAATGCAAATTTTACATAGTTTCTTTTTAGTTTTTTTATACTTGTTTATGTAGTCCTAGAGATCTAATCTTTGGAATAGACTTTAAAAAATAAAGATAAAACACACTTCAACTGCCTCTTCTCTTTCCTTTTACTCTCTTTCTCTTATATTTTCAGGAGTCTTGTATTTTTTAAAGTGAAATTTACAAAAGGGTAGACATCTATTGCAAATAGACTGAAGCCAAATTGTTTTAAATGAAGCTCTACTTAACAAAACAACTATTTTACTAGTGAATAATTCTATACATCTATTATTTATTTAATTATAATTCTTGGTGCTGAAAATTGTAACCTCTGACATGCTAAGCACATGCCCTACTATTCAGCCCTAACTACAATTTTAAATGAAACAAATTTGTTTTGGGGAAAGCCCTCTTAAAGTACATATCTGTGCTTAGTAAAATATTTATGCTATGTATTTTATGGCTATTTTTCTAAATGAATAATTATGGTCACAGAGCAGAACTTTTAAATAGTTTTTAAATTATAATCTCTGCTATGGTCTTCTCATGGGAAAACTCGACTACATAGGTCGTATGCTGCACCCTATGCAAGATTCTCTAATTAAAATGGTCTTTTGTTGGTAGATTCAATGAGCACTACAGCTAACAACTTTACAAATAATTATATCATTAAGTTTAAAAACCCTTCTTGGAATGGTGCTTCCTATTACACAGAACCCTTGTGGTCCTCTTCAGCTACCCAACTCTTCAGAATTATTCTCCTTACGCATAGTTTGGAAAGGAAGACAAAGAACTAATATTTAATGAAATCAACCTAGAATGTTCTAGGCATTGGGCTGAGCACAATATATTTTGTTAATGCATCTTAAAAATAATTTAGTTAGGTAGATATTGTTGTTCCCATTGTATAAATTGTGAGATGAATCCTTTGAGTGAAATTGAGTGGAATGATGGTCCCAATTCTCGTTCAACTGTAGAGTTATACTTCTTAGCTGCCTGTCTGTTGGTAAGTTAGTCACTTACCATCAGTCATGATATTTGGACTTCTCATGAAGCTCCTGTGAAAATCTCAAAATTAAAATATGTGAAGCACCTAAACCAGTGATGGAGTATGGTGGACTGTGGGCTGACTGTTCAGTAACTTGCTCAGGATTCATAGAGCATTCATACCAAGTTGGAATTTTAACTTTATTGCTCATGTGCTTCCCAGTCCTCTATAGTATACACCAAGGGCTTTAAAAATCTACAACCTCAACTTCAAGAGATAACCCTAAAAGTGATTAGCATGTCTACCAGATAAGTGACATTGTTTAGCAAGACCCTGAGAGAGTGAGAAATTGGCTTAATGTGCATCAGTCATCAGAACAGTTCCAGAGCTTGCAGCACCAACTCAGACAGACACTAAACAAAGTATCTTTTGATCACCAATGATGTCAGAGAAGGAGAAGGAGGAAGAGGAGATGGAAGAGGATGAGGAGGAGAAGGAGGAGAAGGACAAGAAGGAGGGAAGAGGGAAAGCTACTAGAAAACAATGAATATATAAGAACAAATGTAATCAATGCCTTCAAAATTAAAGGTTACTCTGTTGGTTTAATAAGACAACATAACTCCCCACGTGTTGTACACATGCAGGATTAGGTCACACATGCAGGACCTCCTCATCCACCATGGATAAACGGCATTCTCCAACCATCCATGTATACAAAAAAATCCACTGTTCAGTACCACCCTCCACCGCAAAGGGGCTATATCTGAGGATTCCTTCTCCACCAAAATGTCAACAGGATTAGCATAGCCATCAGTCCAGCGGAGCTGGCCATTCACTGAGTTGTGTGAATCTTAACCTAATACATTTGAAAAACATAGAGTCGACTGAATATATAGACCTTATAGATTTCCCATGAAGCTTGATCAACATTACCGTAATTGACAGGAAGCCATTAGGGAAAGAATGTTGCTTCAGTAATTATAGGTATGTCTGAACCACTCCTTTCTCTATGTTTGCTGTATTTCTACTTTTATAATGGGTTCTAATTGTGTTGTTTCTGAACAAAAAGTAAATTCAGCAAGCATTAAAACATCATTGATCTTTGCCAAATGGATTCAGGTCTCATTATCAACAAGTGATATTTTCTAAATTATGTGTATTGCAATTTTTATGTATTACATTAACGTTGACTTTTAAAAAATAAAACACACAATAATAGTATCAGTAACATCAACTACTTAGAGATTATTCAATTATGAGAGGCTCCCAAATTACAGTAATTATTAAATAACTAAATAATAACTTTACTATTAGTAGTACAACTGGGCATGAATAGTGAACTTTTTAGATTCCAGATTTAATTATGATGTTTTATAAGCAGTAAAAGAATAAATGACAATCCAGTTGGTTTATAAATCCTTTAAGTATTGTGATTAGATTTATACAGTCTTTCACGGTGAAAATAATCTGGAAAATTATCACAGTTTATGTACATAATCATGATGGGAAAAATTCATTTTAACGTAGACACCTAAGTGTTTTCATGGAGAAAAAAACCACTAAACAACAATATAGGAAAACTACCTTTTACAGTGTTTGTACTTACTATTGTAATCTGAGTTAGGAATGCTGAGGCATAAACTGAGTATTCACATGTAATCTGGAAGGAAGAATTTGAATTTCCATGGCCTATTCAAGGAAGAAAAGAAATAACAAGAACTAAAGGTTGCTGCAACCTTCATCTGAAGTCTGAGGCTTAGTGATAGTTTTACCTTGGTGATTTATCTATTTAATCCCTCGTCATAAATCTTACAGCTCACAAGCATTTTGGCTCCAAATTTCTTAGATAATATTACTAAATAAATCAAGTGTGTTGGGAGATAGAGATAGATTGTTATAATTATTATGATGTATGAATACAGACAGGCATATAATATTTAAATTATGCATATATATCAACTTCATCAACTACTTACAGTGTCCACTGTTTGCTTGGCCTTTCATCTTAGTGATGTATATATTTGAGCTATAGATTTTAATATAGTAAAATTTACCTCTACAGTAGCAAAAAAATTTGTAAACATTACAAATGCTTTATAATCATTAATTTTCAGTATCACACAGATTACTGTTTAAATAACATCTGAAAGAGATACATGAGTGTGCGCTCTCAAATATCTAGGCTGTATTTGAACTGATAGATTATAGCTTTTTATCAGTGATGCATTAAAGCTAGAGAGATTCTTGAAACAAGCCTGGACGAACAGAGTGCCCTCAGTAAATTCTGTCTAATGCTAGCATTTCCAATACCATGGCTTTACATGCATCACAAAGAAATAAGCCTTCTAGGCCTGATTTGAACTCACTCAAAAGATTATATTTAATTATCGCCGTTAAAATCCATATTTATAGTTGGGACCAAGAGAAGAGGTAAAGCCAGGTGTGGTGGCTGTAATCCTAGCACTTGGGAGGCTGAGGCAGGCAGATCACTGCAAGTTTGAGACCAGCCTGGGCTACAAAGTCAGCCCAAGGCCAGCCTGTTCTGCACAGCAAGACCCTGTCTCAAAATGACAAAAATAAAAAGGTTAACTTAAAGTTGTTTGAAACAAAGCTATGTTTTCTGTGTATCACTTATATGAGCAGATATAGGTGAGTTAATTTACATAGTCATATTTAAACATAATCACATATATTTGTATATAAATGACTATATATATAAAGACAGAGAAAGAGAGACAGAGAGAGGGAGAGAGAGCAAGAAATATAAAAATCTGTGTTATGTAAACATGTACCTTTGGACGTGAGGAGGAACTATATCCATATACAGATCCTTTCCATTTATTGCCATAGCAGCTTCCTTCCTTCCCTTATTAATGGTAAGTGCCTGTTATTCTTGGCTCCCCTGGGCCTTCAGCACCATGAGCAGAATCATCCAGCAAATAAAACTTTCTCTTGGCTGGTGGGGTGCTAGTCAACTAGATAGAGTTCAGTGAGACAACCTTGGAATTGGGTGAAGTTGGCAATGACCTTGAATTTCCCTCTTTGGGTCACAGAACAATTAGCTTCTTGTTTCAACCAAAAGCAATGTTAAATTGCTACATTTGCCAATACAAATCCTGCAAGGATATTTTGTAGTGAGTGTTCATTTCACACCGTGATTTTATCTTTGTTGTTGAATGTTGTCTTCTGCCTTAGCCATAACAGTGGTAAGGGAGGGAATCCTCTGTTTACATTGTTTAAAAGACTATCAAAGCATGAATTCAGATATATTTCAAGAGGTGGTTTAATTTGGATGCATGGTATCATGCATTTGTATGACGAGGAGCTTAAACTTCCATGGTTCTCACCGGTGGGTTTGAGGGATACTGGTTACAGGGTGCAGACAGTATCAATCTGAAACTTTTAAGTCCTGGATCCCATGCTAAGTGCTCCTGGGAATCAGTGTGCCTCTGCCACTGACTAGAGAACTGTGTGTACTGTGGAGTTAGTCAAATCTAATATATTGTTAGTGCTTAATTTTTTCCTGAAAAAAAAAAGAGAGAGTATTGATTTTTGTCAGGGAGCACATTTTATTTTACTTCTGTTGGTTGTAAATGACAGGTATTTTATAAAAATTTGAAATCTATTTTATAAATAGTCTAAAAGTACTGGAAGCCTTGTCAGCCACCTTTGACACATCTGGTGGTAGACTGATTTAGAAGTCTAAAGAATAGTTGGTGGGTGTCCTTTCAAACTGGGAGTCCCCCAGAGCGGCAAGCTCCAGGTGGCAGACCTTTCTCCTTAGGTGCTGAGGTAGTTAGAGAATGCCGACCTCCGAAGAACATTCACACGGACTGTAGAGATCTGTCAAAAGCCAGAGACCTCCCTTTGTGTTCACAAACAACAGCAAAGTACTTTTCAGGTGGGGTAAACCCTGTTTCTTTCTCTCTGATGCACTCCTGTTTCACAGCACCATCCTTCTACTGTGAGAATCACCATGGCGGAGCCTTCTGCAGTCAGGTGCAGCCAGGGACAGAGCTGTGTCTGTTTTCACAGATCCAACCTGGGAGCCCAGGGAAGCCCCCCACCCCCCGCACACTGTAATGTGGAATCTTTTATCTGGGTCATAGTTGTAAATTCAAGTTAACCCGGATGGGCTTTTTTTCCCCTTGACCCAATAGATTCCTTTATATTTCCACTGAACCAAATGCTTAAAATAATACTCTACTTGATTCTTGTAGTTTTGTATTATGAAGAAAATATAAATTAGCAAATCTTTACTGCTATAAGTTAGGCTAGTGATCTGACCTGCACCGAAGTTAAAAAAAAAAAAAAAAAAAAAAAAAAAGCATTCCAAGTCACATAAGTCATATCAGTGTCAAGAGCAGAACAAGATGGAGACTTGTAGTGTTTAATTTGTTGTTCTGTCTTTAATTCGTTTAGCCATTAAACAAGCCCCTACTGAATTGTGCTGTCATATGTAGTAGAAAATAAATCTATTTGGGAAAACATAATAAGAAAAAGATTAATAGAGGGCATTTGCTTTTTAAATGGCGGAGCAATGTGGAGTGTAAAGAAAGCTGATAAGGAGTTGGTTACCACAGCCTGGAGACAGTCCTGGTGGGTGGGGGTGGGGAGTGGTCCATCTGTACCAAGTCACATACAGTAAGGATCTCTGGTGTGCTATGGTGGGTTGCTGTTAATAACAGCACCATGCTGTACATTCAAAAATCTAGAAGAAAACTTTTCCCCATGAGGAAATCATGAATATTTTAGGAAATGGATATGCTTAACATGATTTAAATGTCATACAGTGTATAGTATAAGAGATTATCTCTTAATTCATGCCTGTGTACAATTTTTACATAGGTCAGAAAAGATATTTTTAAAATTTGGAAATCAGCAGCACTGGCAGAATTCAAAATGATTGAGGGCTCCCATGAGAGCCAGCCAACAGCCCGGTGCCACGGGCCATCTGGGGTGAGCTCAGTGCTGGAGGGGCTTTTCACCAGGCTGGGAAGTGAACCTAGTGCAGGACTCTGACTCTGGGACCTCAGATCCGGATCAGAAATGCATTCCAGGAAAGTGGTAAATTTCTGAAATTCCAAGGTTGTTTAGTCATATTGTACGCTTCTGTGGAACATGCACCCTGATCTTTTCCGAATATGTCCCTATCAGTGTCGCAGGGTGACTGTGACCACACACGCACACTCCACGACAGGGGATTGGATACTGGCACCCCTGCCCCCCTACTATATCCTGAGTCTCTCAAAATCCCTACATTTTTTTCCAGGCTGCTTCTGATTCTGCAGGACTTAGCCAGAGAGCAGGTTTCTGAGGTGTGCTGGGTGAAGCCTAGGGAATCCCCTATTAGGTGGCAGTATCTTCCCTCTTGTCACTGATGATCCCAAACCCAGAACAGCCACAGGCATCCTGCTCTCTGCTGGGCTGTGCTCATGTCTGCGGAAATATCAGTGTCATTTCATCCTCAAGTGGCCAGCCCCTCATCTCATTGTGTGAGATGAGAATGGCCCCTCTGTACCCTTTGTCACAGCAGTAGGGAAGAAAGAGAAATGAACACACACTGCTAATGACTTGTGTATGTGCTTCCTCCTTGTTCCTGTGTTTCCGACATCGACAGCTTTAGCCCCACCTGTCATTTAGACCCGAGCCTCGGACTGATCTGTGATGAATGCTCTGTCGGGTACACAGGACCACGCTGTGAGAGGTAAGTGTATACTACCCTGTCTTGCAAAATCACTTCCTCCTTGGAGTTATAAAACCACAGGCATTATCATCCGCTGCTCTACCCCAGAAACAGCCAAGCTCAATGAAATGAAATAAAGAATTTTATCACACTAGTCAAACCAATCCATTATATTTTTATAGTTTATTTATTCTCTAGCAATGGCTCCATAAATCTTCATTCACTCAGAGAATACCTGATTAATGTTTTAATCATAAAGGTTAAACATTAGCCTACATCTTTCTAAAAAGTATTGCACAAGTGCGAAGTCATACACTTTAAGATTTATCTTACTGTCTACCATTGGCGTCATTTATTTTTCATAATTAGCTTTTTGTCCTTAGAATGTGACTTATGTTCTTAATTCACAGTTCAGAAAGTGGTCCCATTGCTTGCTTTAAATATATTTAAAATACAAACAAAATATAATGTATTATTATGATTTATACTCTCTTGTAGTAGTTCTTGCACCAGTGTTTAAATTCCATTTGTTCTTTTGTTTGTTTGTTTGCTTTGAAATGGAACAGAATTTGTGTATTTTTATTTCCTTTTGAATATGTCTTGAAGGAATGGCCTTACTGTATGTCTTGGTTACTTTTTTCTTGTTGCTGGGACAAAATACTCAACACTCAAAATGAAGGAAAGAAAGGTTTGTTTAGCTTACAGTTTGCGGAGGTTTCAGTCCATAATTAGCTGGCTCCAAGGCAAGGTGGCATGGCACTGGGGCAACACTGCCAACACAAGGCAGCAGTCAGCAAAAGCAGCCAGGGCAAAATGGGGGAAGAACAAGCCTCTTTTCCTCCCTTATATTGTATGCAGGCCACCCTGCACTCCCCAGGGCAGATGTAGCACTCACAAAATCTCTGTGCCCTCCTCTTGCACAGGATGAGGATATTTACAAAGTAAGGATCCTGGCTCTCTGCTGAGTGTCTCAGCTAAACTTCTGAACTTCTTAAGTTGACACAGTGTATCAACCATTGCACAGTATATTCCATCTCCATATAAAAATGGTACCAACTTCCCCTTTGATACCATATTATAGTTGAAGAGTGCTACCTTCCTCTAGTTTCAACTCTGAGGACAGTCCCCTTTGGTACCACCACTGGGAATAAAAGGGAACAATGGGAGAGGCAGTGGAAGTGACCTGCTTTCATTCCTTGTTACCAGGGCCACCACAAACAGGGCGACTTCAGCCTGTCATTCCTGCCTTCTTGGCAGCCATTGTGCCTGTTTCAACCAGGATGCGTGAAGTTAATGAAGCAGACGTCAATCTCTCAGAGAGGCTTTAGCTGGCTGCTACCCTCCGCGTGGACAAAATGCCTGTGGCAGTTTCTAGCAGCCTGAGTAATATTTGTCAATATGGTAGTGTCCATAAATTAGCCACGGAGAGAAAGAAGTGAAAATTAGAAGGATTTATTTGTAACTGAGAAACTGGAGACCTTTACCTTCTGTTTTTGTAAGCAGAAGCCTGTGTATATTGCTTATTATCATAGCAGAGCAGATCTTTTTCAAGACAGGTTTACATCAAGTGTCTAACCCACTCCTCCTCCAGCTTACCACAGGCAACATTTTCTTAGCAGCTCAAAACTGACAGCTCTTCTCTCATACAAGACCATTAAATCCACTTATCCAGCAGAGTGTAAGCTCTGATGTGTTCCCATTGCTTCCCTTCATGTACTGTTCTTTCCACACATATTATGTAATAGTTTGTGGACCATCTACGATTCAAATGACTACACTTTATTTCATAAACACCTCCTTAGCAATCACCATGTGCAGAGTTAGACACAGGAGATAGACAGATGCGCTCTACAATCCTTGACTCAGCAGCTCACATCTTTCCTTATGATGGGTGAGACTGGTCACATGTTCTGGAGAGAATTCTAATTGAGCAGTAAAAATATCACCAGGGAGTGAAATAGCTGACAGAAAGCATGATTTCCTGTCTAAAATCTGTATTAATGCAATCCAAAAGAAGATGGAAAGATGGATATGCAGGGTACCAAATGGCATATCTTATTTCCAACTCAAGTTTTTCACCCAAAGGAAAAAGATCAGCAATTATTATATACATGATGAATATTATCCTTTTCTAGCTGAAATTAGGGTTTCCTAGGAATATTTAGGATTTTACTATGAGCTACGTAGTCCATTAGATAGATCAAAAATATTGGCAAAATATTTTTGAGTCATACACGTTGAAATGGAAAGGTGAGCAAGGTCTGCTGGTTGCATTGAAAATTTTGCAGTCAAACCCCTGTGATTTGCTGATCCCTGTACGCAAATCATCTCCATAAAATCAGCAGTTTAAACCTAGATTTCTGCAATTGCATAAGTTGGAGAAGTATTTACTGGCATGTTAAAGTTTTAGCTTGTCCTGTTCAGTGAAAAAATCTGATGAATTTGCCTAACATAAGATTTCCTCTACAACATGGTCTTAAATCTCCCTTTATTTTCTAGCTTGAATGTGGCTCGGACCATGCTTCAGGTGCACAATAATTACGGTTTTGTAGAGTTTACCTCAAATTAGTTTCTATTGTGAGCCTCATTCTCTATCTGTAGAAAATGGGTGAGCTTGGAAACATGGCCACAGCCCACTTGCTTCTCTCCTTTCTCCACTTCTGAGGTTGGGTCAAGGTTCTAAGAAGCTTACCTTATACAAGGACACCGATGTGCATGGCTGTGTGCGTAGCGGACGGGTGTGCAGGGGAGTGTGAGGCGAAGGAAACACAGCAGAGTGAGTCTTTCTGCTGACCTATTCCTTGTCCATATTGTCTTTCTCTTCATCTATCAACTGTTTCCACTGCTTCCCTCCCACCCACCACCACCTCGACCGTAAGCACTTTTCTGTGCCTATTTCCACAGCTGTCCCACTTTCTGTTCAGGGGAAGGCTGCGGAGTAGCATCCACATTCTTGGATGACAACCTCTAGAGCCCCAAATCTAGGTATTCCATAGGAACACTTTCTCTGTGAACCCCTTCACTCGGGAATGTGTCACATGATGGTTTCACTTCATGAGCTGATGAGCCTTCCAAATGCCAGACACAGAACCTAACACCCACAATTTAAACCAGGAGGGCTTTAATATGGCTCACATGTTAAGGGATTCAGTCAATGGTCAGCTCCCTTCAGAGCATAAATAACAAGGCAGGAAGGTTCTAAGGGGGCAAAGTGGCTTAGTTCATGGTGGCCAGGAACAGAGCAGGGGCACAGTGACAGAGAAGAGGCAGGGGACCATATATTACTCAAAGTCACACCTCCGTGACACACCCAGGACACCTAGTAATGTGCTTCACTCATCCCTTGGGCATTTTTTTTAACCAATTCAATTGACACAATTAAGGTGAACTGTCACAGGGACTAAAGAAAAATGATTTATGGGAGGATGGCAAAAGTCAACACAACAATGACTGATCCTCGCTCCAGCACAGAATGCTAGTTACAGCTTGGAAATACTAATCAGAGGTCAAAGCATCTTCACCTTGGAGGTAGCACTGCTTCTCTGGGGAATATTTTAGCAAAAGAAAGAGAGTCAGAGTGAAGGCAGCAGGTATTTTTCATGCCACATCCCTAAGACTGTTGACTTTTGTTACATGGACAACCAGAGAACAAAATGGAAAAAACAGAGAGACGGCATCCTGAAGGTCAAAAAAGTTAGCACTGGAGATTTAAGGAAAGTAGTTAAGTTGTTTCTAGCATAAGCACCCTTAGCAACCTGTCACATGCCACATAGAAAGACATTTCCCGAGACTGATAAGTTTGCTTGGTGAATTCCACAGGACAACCTGATATTGAAGGAGATAGGTGAATTCCTTACCCTGTCTCCTCCCCAGTTAGCAGATTTCACTCCTCTCTCCACTGCCCTCCCCTCCTCTGCTCCTCTCTCCTCTCTTCTTGTGTGTGTGTGTGTGTGTGTGTGTGTGTGTGTGTGTGTGTTTGTTTGTTACTGGGTATTGACCCCAGGACCTTTGCACTGAGCTATACCATATCCCATTTTCTATTTTCTTTCCAGCCAGCGTCTCACTTGGTATATGTTGACCAGACTGGGCTTGAATTTGTAATCTCCTGCCTCCACCTCTCAGAGTGGAGGAATTGCAGGTGTGCACAGGCACACCCAGCACCAGCTGGTAAATTTCTAACTCCTCCCTAAGTGAGGAGACAGAGGCCACCCATCATGACCAGGCTCACAGTTTCCACTGAGCACAGGCTTGGAATTTGACTTTAGTCACCTAAAGTTTTGAAAATGTGCACGTGACTTTATTCACATGATGCCTGTTTGACCTTGAGGAAGTTCCTTTGGCTTTTTCATTTCAACTGAAAAATTCTGTTTAGCCATTTCTGCATCAGCAGCATCTGAGTGTGGGTCAGATCTGGTGACCCTCGGAGGATGAAGTGGGTGACAGGTGCTACTCATGCTGGTGGCTGCTCATCTCTAGGGCCCTGGCAGCAGAGCAGAGGGTGGCAGAAATCACTGCTTCTGCCCTGGCTGCACCACCAGCAAAGTTGTGGCTCCATCTCTGGTCCTAGGAGGCTGCTGGTGTGGATGGCAGATCTGTGTGCTATGCAAGGTTCCTGGGGGAGGCAGCAATTGGGGGCTCCAATCCCAGAAGGGCTTTGTGCCCACATCACATCATCATGCTGTGTGTGGGTGCACAGTCTCTGGCTGTCTCTGGTCTGCTTTTAGACACCATAGACAGAAGCAGACACTCTCGGTCCTTACTGATAATGGCAAAGGAGGCCAGGGGGCAGCAATGCCAGCAGGCGACAGCACAGCGGCACGACCTTAGGTTCCAGCCACAATCTCTGCCGTCTGTGCCGCTGCGGTTCCCTCTGCCTGGAAGCCCACAGTCCTTCCGCCCCTGACTTAAGCTCCCCCTGCCAGCTCTTCATTCTCAGCTGCACCCTAAGAAGGCCTCTGTGGCTCAGCCTAACATGCCCAGGTTGCCTCTCCTGTGCCCATGATTTTGTTTGAGTATCTCCAGCTGTTCTGTGGTTCCATTTTTGGTCCGTGATTGCAGTGCATAGGCTTTACTTGCCTCCTGTGGAGTTGGTATTGCACATAATGAGTCTTAATTCCTTTCTTCCTCCCCTGCCCTCTTCCTCTTCCCTATCCTACCGTCTCTCGATAGCCTTCTCATTGCACAGTTATTGCCCTAATATCTATTGCTTGGCTTCTGCCCTGCTCTTTATTTATACTTCAGTTTTCTCAATTAGAGAAAACCATGCAGTGTTTAAGTTTGTGTCACTTAACATTATGGTATCTAGATGCACCCATTTCCCTACAAATAACTCGAGTTTATCATTTTTTATGCCAGGGTAGTACTCCATTCTGTGGAAGTGCCACCCTTTCTTTATCCACTTATCTCTTAATAGGCAGATAGGCTTCCAAGGTTTAGCTGATGCGAATCATGCTGCTACAAGCATGGGTATGCGTACATCACTTTACTACGGCGTCTGGCTTTCTTAGGAAGATCCCTAAAATGGAAATTCCTGCATCAATGGAATTTTTAATTTTAGCTTTTTGAGGAATCTTCATACTGATTTTCAGCCTGGGTGTACTGGTTTACATTGCCACCAACAATGTACAGAGCTTCCTTTTCACCGTAATCTCACCGTCACTTGCTATTATCTGATTTCTTGATGGCCAATCTTCCCGGAGTAAAGTGAAATTTCAGGTTTGTTTCAATTTGCACTTCTTTAATGGCCGGTGACGTTGAACATTTCTTCATGTATTTATTGGCTACTCGTACTTCTTCTGTGAAGCATCTATTCCTTTCACTCTTTTTGACCGGGCCTTTTATTTTGAAGGGGCCTCATTTTTCTGAGTTGTGTGTACATTTTGGATATTCACCCTCTAAGGAATAGCTGTCACATTTTAACGTGGGTTTCTTGTCCGCAGACAATGGGCTACAGACTGTGTCTTATTTCTGAGTGTTATATAGAAATACTCACTGGATTTTCTGTTTTGAAAGGGGGAAAGAAAGGTGAAAAAAAAAGAAAATGGGGAGGTAGGCCACAGATTTTACTAAAAGCTGCTGAAAACATTATTTGAACAGAAGGAGATAAAAATCTCCATTAGTCTTATTGCTTTGTTTTTCTCGTTGTTTCGATCCATGTCAGCCTTCATTCTCTCTTCCTCTTTTCTCTCCCTTCTTTTTCTCTCTCTCCTCCTCCCTCCCTCTCTCTGTCTTTCTCTCATATTATTCCTAAATTACCAAGAGCAAAAGCTGTATTACATAGCTAACATGTCATGTAGAATTGCTTACATTTTAAAGGGTCTCTTTAAATCATTGCAAATTGATTCAAAAATGTTAATAATTGTGAAAAGGGGACAGTGGCTTTTTACATTAAGATCTTCATCTTTTTTTAACCAGGAATTCAATAAACGATTTTTATATAAATTCAATGAAGTATGTTTTAAAATTGCCCATCAGTGAGAGGGCTTGAGATTTCATATTGCAATTAGTTTTGATGGAGAGAAAAATCTAAGAATCTGGAAAGGTCCAAAGGAGACTATTTTAACTAATTTTAATTAGAGGAATCTAAATTTGACAGGCTATGTAATGCTTTATTATTAATAAAATTATCTGATTAGCTGCATTACATTTCCTGACCCTGAAATTACTTTTAATTCCCAATGAGACATTTTATAAGTTTCTGAAAGTGCTAGTCTATATATAAAACCATCCATCCATCATCACTCACACATGCATCATCAGAGGGACACAGTGACCTGCAGAAAGCAGCCGGTGTACCTTAAGGGCCACGTGACTCTTTTGTCACATAGAGCGACATTTTCCTTATGTGTCCTGTAATACAAATACAAGATGCTTCTTCGTTATTTTACTTAACAGTATTTAAATTTAACATTTTCTCCATGGACTGAGTATTTTTTTTATTATTACAGGAGAATTTGGGCTTATTAATTGGTATCTGTGTTAGGAAAAATTCCCAGATCTTGTTATATAATGCCATCTCCCCTGAGGGCACTAAGTCATTTTTTAAAAAAGGAACTGAAAATAATAGGTTTTCATTGACTGTGATAATGATCCCTGTACATCCTTGTTCTACAAGAAGTGAAGTCACTGTTTTAGAGATAAACAAAATGAGACATGAATATCTGAGGGTGTAATTGTAAGCTCTGAATATCAAATGAGGCAGGAAGGATCAGGTGAAGACTCAGAAGGAACTTATTATTTTATTACTTTATACTCCTGAAGGGGTTGTGGGAAATTATATGCTCTAAAATGTTATTCTGTATTTCATAAGAGAACCAACCCATAATTATATTTTTGGGAAGCAATATGCTGTTAAACTATGTTTATACAATGTTCATAATTTTATAAGCCATTTTGTGAATATAATTAAAACTATTAATCTCACTTTTTAGAATTAAGATAAAACATTGACTCTTTCAGATTATTAGGACCTATAAATTTTCTAGAAAACCTATACTAAAACATGTGTCTGATCAATCAGTGACTTTGTACCATAATTACAATATCATTAATGTATCCTCAATATGACATATTGAATTTAAACCACTTCTATTTCAAGTCGTAGAGGGCCTTTTTCTAAAATATGTCTTCCCTGTCTGGGAGTGGATTATTCTAAATGCAGAGAACTGTAGAGGAAATTATCTTTTTGTGCACTATTTTTGTTTTCTTTCAATCGTGAACTTTGCTGCAAGTTTGTTTTGATAAGATGGCATAGGTAACACAGCCAGGATGACCCTGGACTCTGGAGCCCTGTTTTCTTTCTCCTTTTGCATGTGAAACTTAATAGGAAGCTCATGGAAATGGAGCTGAGAGAGACCACAGAGCAGAATGTAACCAAGTGCTACCTGTCAGACTGTATCTGTGCATCTGTAACATCAAGTAACATCTTAAAACATGTAGATCAAAGCAAATTTGGTACTGTAACTTTTCAAAATTGGTGTCATGCCTTATAAATAATGCAGCATATAAAATAGTGTTTTTTGTTTTTGTTTTGTGTTTTTTTTTTGTTAAAGAAGAGATCTGGTTTTTGCCAACTTAAATAGGGAGCCCAGTTCAGCATCACCTTATGGTATGATATCATAGTAAGCAGCCGCACCTATATAGACTTCCTGTTAATAAAGACTTTGCATTGAATCTCCGCCACTGGATCCACATGTAATAGATGCAGACCTATCAGTAATGCACAGATGCCCCCAGCCCCTACACAAATAACAATCTTCTGAGTCACAATTTCCATTTCAAACATTCTGAACTCTTACTAATGAATTTCCTTGTCATCTTGTTTCTTCATAACAATCTCTTGCTGCAAAAACAACAAAAAATGTGAACCTTGTGTATCTCTACAGAAAATAACCAATTGAAATAGAGACATACGATGTGTTTTACTACAAAGGCTTTGCAGTGTGGACTTGGATTCTTCAGAGAGTCAGCAGCAGCTTTCTTATTATGCTTTGGTTCATCTTCAATGCCAGTGACAAGATTTTTATTTTCTCTTTTGGTCTGGCTGCCATGTAATTACTAGTGGGGCTGGCAGGATTTCATCTTGTATCTATGCTGCAGTATAGAAAAACAGTTTTAATCACCTCACACTTGAGACAAGAAACACTTTAAAGAAAAAGCCATCATCCTAGGAGTGAAGTAGTATGAAAAATTTGTAAACATTGCCTAGCACGGATTTCATGAATCCGCCTTCCCCCACCACCAAATGCTCACTGATGGAATTTCTCACCCTAGGTGTGAAGAAGGCTATTTTGGACACCCTTCTGTGCCTGGAGGATCATGTCAGCCCTGTCAATGCAATGACAACCTTGACTTCTCCGTCCCTGGCAGCTGTAACAGCTTGTCTGGCTCCTGTCTGATATGTAAGCCAGGAACAACAGGCCGGCACTGCGAGCTCTGTGCGGATGGCTATTTCGGAGACGCTGTGGATGCGAAGAACTGTCAGCGTAAGTCCTGAGCTCAGGGTGCCCCTGACAGAATTGATATATTATACTTCAGAGAAGCTGATAAGCTCGTGAGTGGGGCTCGGAGACGAGAAGATTGTTTGTAACACAATGTCGGTTGCTTCTGAGGGAGATTTGTGCACAGCACAGGCACGAAGTGCACATTCCAAAATGTGTCTCTGTCCTCTCCTATAGGGCGCAGCCGCCGCAAGTTACTGCCTTGCCAAAGTAGTATTTTTCAAGGATGTACATATTCCCATTCATGTGAAGAAAAAAATTTACGATAGGTTTATATCCATAGCAATAAAAAAGAATTCATAAATTAGGTAGGCTTTTGATCCCTTTTATTTCGATTCAAATCATTTGTTTGAAATAAATGTAGCCACCCATATTATTTCATTAGTACATTTCAGTAGGTGCTAATAGCTTATGATTTTACATGTGAACTTTAGTTTTATATATCCCAATAGAGGTCCCACTCCACCAATATTATCCCATGCTGGCGTAGTTATTGTTGAGCGATTGATTAATTTTCAGTTTGGTAGTATGCATCTAATGCTATTTCTCAGTCTTCTTTCCATGAAATTAGTTTCTCTAAATGTTCACCCACTTCAAGATAGTGTGTTCCTCCATTCATCTTTGCCTCCTTAGCTGAGATGTGCAGAATTAATAAATGCTTTAAAACAGTAATAGTATAATATGCAAAGGAGACCTGGTTTGGAAAGTCAAACAGAATATGAATCTGGATTAGTAACTGAGATTTGTATGTGACCATTGTTGACCTCAGCTGCTATCATAACCTCTAGGAGGTGCAGGATGTGTGACCAGCCTGACAGTTCATTTCTGCTAAATTTATGATGTGAGAAGAAACTTCAGTCACTCAGGTCATCCCGCAGACCTGCAGATCTATAATACCATGGGGGCAAATGTCTGGTATCTCTGCTTTAAACACCAAAGACCTACTAGGTGCCCCATTTCAGCAGGGCATATGCTCCTTCCCCCCTGGATTGATAATGTGTTAAATCAGAAGCCATTCACTCTCAGAAACAACTGACAGGTGTTGGTATCATCTGTGAACCCATTTTTTTTAAAAGCACAATTTCCCTCAGTTTCCAAGTGACTGTAGCCATCCTAGAATTTTGGCATTCATATAATAGGGTAGGGAGCTTAGGAAACTGTGTTCGAGTCTATCATCTAGAATCTGTACTCTGTCACTGAGTCACCCAAGAGAAGAATTCAACCCCGATGAGACTCAGTTTCCCCATCTATAAGATGGGCCATAAACTTGCTGTGGGAGATTAAAGGATGCAGCACACACAAGGTGTCAGTGAGTTTGTGGGGTTGGCTGGGCGCAGCAAATTCACAGGTTTGGTAAAAAAAAAAAAAAAAAAAGCTATGCTTGTGGCAGTTGTACATCAGTGTGGTGCTTGGATCAGCGGTTCACAGACTCCAGGTCAACACTGACCATTGAATGATGTGTTTTTCTGTCTTCTAAAAATTCTTTTTGTAAAATTGAACACATTGTTCCATTCACTGTATTGTGAACTAGTGGTCTGTGGCTCAAAGCCTTAGAACACAGAAAAGAAAAAAAGATGACCCATTATCAAATTCCATGCCACTTGCCATGTGGTGTAGACTTGGTTATAATTTTAATGTTCCATGATGTGTGATTATAACTCAAATATAATCTATAATCTATTTTTATAATTTTCACATATATAGTAGCTCTCTTACACAGTGGTAAACCTCAAGAAAGTTTTGTGAAAAAAAGTGCAGATTTGTTCATGAAACGTTCATCCTTACATAGAAATACATTTTTAAATTTATATGTAGTGCCATATCATACTTAGCTAGTAAAATGCCACTTTCATAAAGTTCTATATTGCTTTTGTTACTTATAACATTAATTAATCACCACTACATTTATGGAACTTAAAGCTAACGAAAAGAATGTCTGGATTCTAAGTAATTTGAGATTTTGAAAATGTCTGTGTAATATACAAAAGAAATTTGCATAAAGAAATTAGTAGTATGCACAGCAATTCTAGTGTCCAAATGAAGATGGATACTTAAAGAAAATAATGTTTTCCAGGCTTCAATTCCATTTCCACTATAAACTGTCCCCATGCTGTTGTCTGATGAAAGCAGCTGGTTTCTGATTGGCCACTTTTTTGGTGCCCACCAGATGAGATTAACTTATCAGCTCCTGAAGCCAAACTTTGCTAGCAGAAACTCAAGTAATTTTTAGATAAGCATTAAAGAGAAAGAGAACTTGAAGCCAGGTGAACAAACTAATGGCACATTCTGATGGAGTAGCTATTTATAAAGTATTATTAGGTTGTGCTCAAAGTAGTCAGAGATAATGTACAAAATTTACCAAATCTGTCTATGAATAGTCTAACTACACCCTTATGATTTTATCCTGGTATCAATGCAATTATATGTACCATTAAAACTGCACTTGTAGAACAGAGAGAAAGCCATTAATTACCATTCTATTTATGAAAAGATCACTTGGATTTTAGACTGATTTGTTACGTGTTTGACAATAACACCAGACAACTCTGAAACGCAAAAATGACAGAAGAGTACATCAACCAAATATATTTTCTATCTTTAAGATGGTATATAAATTGTGAGATAAAAGCAATTTTTCAAAATTATAATGGCTTAAAGCAATGTTCTTGTTAGCATACATACTTTCCTAATCTTAAAGGGATTTACATTTATTTCATCTCAAACTTATTTGTGAAACTTAATACAGAAGCAGAGTAAGTGATCCTTATATTGAAAAAAGAACTAATAAAATGTTGCTTGATTGATGATATTAATACCATAGTATTAAGCATACCTGAGTGCTATTAGTTTTAATAACTTCTCAAAATAAATTTTGCCCCTGGACTATGGATGTATTAGGTGCAGTGGGATTACAATATTTTACCCCAGGCATCAGGTACCTGGAGTCTGCAGGTACCTGACACATGGGGTAACAGTCTGGTTCCTGCACCCCAGATCTATCACCTATTAGGAAGCACATGGCCTTGTGCATGTCATGGCTTCTTTGAATTTCAGCATCTTCATTTTTGAGATTAGGGTAATACTGATGGCATCAATGTTTTATTAGCAGCTTATGTGCCAAGGCATGTGCCCAGTGCAGTATCTTCAAGACTTGTAGAACAATTGTAAGGCCAGTGATAGAGTGCCTCAAAGAGAGCCAGACAAGGAGGAAAGCATTCCATTGCCAAATTCAGCTGTCAGTGTGACCATCAGGGCAATATTTTTATTTAACAAACCCATGAACACTAGGAGCATTTCTGATTTTGGATTTTTAAATTAAAAATGCTCAACCGGTCGAGTCCATGAAATAGTCCCAAATCCACGTTTCAGATGAGGAATACTAAACCTGCAGTAGAACTGTCTTTGCCCTCTCCACAGCTTGTCGCTGTAATGCCAATGGCTCCTCCTCTGAGATTTGCCACAGTCAGACGGGACAGTGTGAATGCAGACCCAACGTGCAGGGCCGGCAGTGCGATCAGTGCAAGGTAAGGTGGTTAGCTTCATCCTGCATCCCTGGCTTTGACGGCGTGAGTGTCACACCTGAGCCTGCTGGGAAGGGGTTTTGGAGTTATCTAATTCTACAGAGGCTGTAATGAGTGTGGTATGTTCTCAATTTTCTATTCCATTGCAGTTGACCTGAAACCTACATTTCTTTCTTTGGCAGAGAATTTATATAATAGTTCCTATAATTTAGATGTGTCTGAGAAAAATACCTTACAAATTTAATCCAATATTTTTTAATTTTACATTTTGGGCAGAATAAAATTATTAGTCCCTTTGCTCTTTGGCAAACACCATTTTTTATTTCCTCCATTAAAACTTCCTTCCAGTGAGAACTCTATTAGCAAAAGTTTACCACAGAGAAAGTCATCAATATATTTTTAGGGATAGCATTTGCTAAAATGAAATATTCAGTTAAACTGTGCTATTATCAATCCCTGGATGTACTGACTGCCCTACCTTTAGGAAGACCAGCATCTGGGGATCCCCTCCTGAGAATGAGTGGATTTGGGGAGACCTTTCATGTACATGCATTTTATTAGTGATAAAGACAAGTAAGCAGGAATGAGCAATTCTCAGATGTCAAACTGACCTTTCTGCAGTAAACTTGAAAACATCACCTGCTTGTGTCTCTTGAATAACACTGTGTGCTTTTCTTTCCATTCTGTTCTTCTCGTGGGTTTAAAGCCCAACATGTGGTGGGACCCGGCGAAGCGGCTCTGTGTGCCGTGTGACTGCAGCCCCCTGGGCTCTGTGTCACAGCAATGTGACAGGACAGGAAGGTGCCTCTGTGCACAAGGCTTCGTAGGGAAGCGATGCCACCTCACCAGACAGGTGCACCGACAGGAGGAGCAGCCGCGGAGAGCACAGCGGGTGTTGGGATCTCCCCTGAGATGGGGTTCCAGCAGCTCCAGTGGGTGCCCTCGGGGAGCCTACCGGGCCCCAGCTCTGGTAATCCCAGAGGTGTTGTATGGCTGGAGCTCTGGCATGCTGTGTTCCGCCTGCAGCAGTTGAAGTTCCCTGGTGGCATGTTACCGAATAACAGCTGCTAAGTTTGCAAAGCACAGACGCAAACGTTAAGCAGCTCCTGATTGAAGCCTTCCTTGCCTTTTCAAAACTAACTCTCCTCGTGCCTTTAAAAGCGTGTTTAAATTCATGGTTTCCACTAACCATGGCTATGTAGAAATCAAACACACATTTATTTGAGAGCACATCAAGGATCACTGGAAAAAAAACTCAGGTTATGTGTGAACAAATAAAAAGAAGTGTAATAGGGACAGTGACAGCTCCGAGAATGCTCGCACCATGGACACAGCTTTGTCCAGCATCGCACTGTAATTAAGGGTTTCGTTTCCACATCGTGATTTTGCTTATGTACACATCCAGCACAACAAACCCAGTTTCACACTCTGTAACCACACAACATGTGCAAAATAAACTTGATTTCAATTATGAAAATTTAGAACCTCATTAAGCAAACCAAACAATGCAGAGATAGAAGAAAAAGGAGAATGAGACACTTCTCCTAGCTATGCTGGAAATTTAGAGATCAGATTTACCACCCTGGATTCAGCCTGGAGGGCTGTGGAGAGTTCAGGGTTAGTATTAGAAGAGCAGAGCAAAATGAAAAGGAAAGAAGGGTAAAGAAAATTACAATTTTATTTCTTGGTACATTATTGTACCTTAAAAGCAACACAGTTCTGATAATGTCCTCTCCAGGTGCAGCTCCAGCTTCATCACTTGCTAGATGGGAAGTTTTTGATGCTTCCTCTAACTTCTTGAATCTTCTAATTCAGTAAAGTGTTTGCTTTGCTTATATCCTCCAACAAGCCAATGCCAAGAGATTTGGGGAAGACATCTGTGGATGCTGGGGGAGACAGTGTAGCACCCCAGGAGCTTCCTGCTACCAGGCAGGTCTCAGTCCAGGGGAAAAAATTAGGAAAAGACTCACTGGGTACATTCAATCAATATGCCCACGTTTCTGACCAGGTCAATGGGAAGTGCCCAAACAAAACCTGTCCTTTAGAGGCATCCTAAATTTGGCAGGAAGTTCTGGGACCTTGCTGTCATTGTCCATTAACTGGAAGAAGTCTAGGAGGTATGTGGAGTGACTTTGTCCTAGCCATCCAAGATGCTCAGTCAGAATAGCCCTCCACGGAGTGGCTTTACACAACGCAAAGACTCTGGCAGCTTCCCTGTCTGGGTATGGCCACCTTCTCTGGACAGTTGTCTTCCCATCTCATGTAGTACAGAAATCTTTGTGGCTGCTTTGATAAGAGCACCAGTTGCATTCATGAGGGTTCTGCCCTGTGACTTCCTCATGTCCAAAAGGCCAGGACCTCCTGACACTAGCACAGTAGAGGCTAGAATTGCAGTCAGTGAAACTGTGATGGGAAAAACATAACCACACAGTCCATTGAAGAGTTCTCTGGGGTTTGTAAGTAGCATACATACTACACTGGAGAGTGTCTTGCAGGGAGATGGTTTGAGTCACCTCCAAGCCCTGTTTCGGGGTAATAGTGAGATCAGTGCATAAGATCCTAACAGGGATTAGACAAAGTAAAAATTAGGTGTCCTTACTATTATCATTGATATCATTGCTAAATGAGAAAATATCTGAAATGAGTTCTTTGTTCCAAAACAGTGCATTGATATAAATCAAAAGGTAGGGATCGTAATGGATGCAAATATCTCCATAATGAAAATTTAGCAGAAAAATCAACTCTCCTCCTGCCCTATGTATCTTGCAGCAGATATGTATGTGTGTTTTATTCTGAGACTGTTCTGCCGATTCAGTGAGCTCCAGGGTGACGGCCACAGACTGTGAATCCAGTTGCCTACTCTGTGATCCTAACCCCCACACTCAGCTAACTGATCACTGCCCGCACTCTAGTTACCTTTCTGTGCTTCAGTTTCATCACTATCAAAAAGTAGTGACAGTAACGGCTGTGGGCCAGAACCGTCCTGAGAAGGAAACGAAGCCATTATTGTGGATGGTTTTGGAAGTGTACACATAGGAAGTAACATGGAAGTCCTAGGTCTTACGATGATCTAAATAAGGAAGAAGTAATGGAATCCCATGCACTTCGACTTTGCCCTGGGCTCTTTTCCCTGTTCGTGTGTTATGACTAATCTTAATTATTAGTTATGAGTGCTTGCTCCCTAAATTTCTTCATGAGGGAGGTTTTCTTTAGCCTTTGAAAGGGATTTTTGAATCCTAAATACATTAATGTTTTATTATTGAAGTGTGATAGTTTTGCTTTGGGGTGACTTGCCTTTGAAATGATACACATGTGTAAGAGTTTGAAAATTATGGCAGGTGCATTTCTTCGTATTAATTTACTTACATAACCTTTGGCACTTTTTCAATGATAAGTGAAATTTAGAAATTCACTTATCATTTGATTGATTTACCCATTAAATGCATGTGTGTGATTAGGTACATATATGTGTGTGTGTGTGTGTGTGTGTGTGTGTGTGTGTGTGTGTGTGTATAGACATACAAGTATTTAGATATGTTTATGTGTTTGCTAAATCGGGAAATTTAGAAATTAATGATGAATATAAAGTACATCTTTACAATTCAGCTTACTAGGTAAAAATTGGGAAATAAAGAAAAATGTCAAATATTACTTCTATAGTTCAAATATTAAAAAAAAAAAAACCACTAACCTGTTTGTAGCTGGGCTTCAAAGCCTGATCCTGTAACACTAGCACTCTGAAAAACTGAGGTAGGAAATTTCCAAGTTCAAACTCAACCTGAACAGTTTAGTGGCTAAGCAAGTTTCTGTCTCAAAAAAAATAGTTTTTTTTTAAAGAGTATTGAGAATGTAGTTCTTAGATTCAATCTCGAGATCTTGAGTACCACAAAAAAATAAGTAAAAAATAAAACCTATTTTAATTATGTTGTGTCCTAGCCATTTACTATGCATGCATGGTCTTATGGAGTGTTTTCATGTGCTATTGTGTAAATATAGATATATAATTGGAATAATAGTATCTCTATAATTTCATATGCTGCTTTTTAGAAGTTTTACTTAATGTTATATTAATCAGATTCCTACCATTAAAATTGCTTCAGAGAAGATTTTAATTATTGCCTATCATCTTACAGCATGAATGTATCATAATTTAGTTAGCTGTTTCACTAACATTGAACTTTTAATTATGTCTACAGTTATACATTATGATAAATAGTCCTGTAATGGGCATGCTTTTGCTTTAATCATGGTTCTAATATCTGATAATTTCTTCTGATCATTGACCTAAATTTTACATTAATTTATTTTTATGAACAATAAAATTATAAATTTTGGTTTTCCATCATAGAGGTGAATTTACTCTCAAGCTCCTGTCACTTATTTGGAGCTACTACAAAGTTTTCTTCTGTAATAAATTAGATCTGAATTATAACTGGAAAGAAAAATAAAGCCAGCAGTATATGTAAAAATTAAAATGATTATCAAAAAAATCAATCCATGCTACATTTAAATTGTCAAACTGTTCTTTGCTAGTTATTTTAAAAGCCTAACTTTCAGTGTGATTTTTATTTCTCAAATTTAATTTTAATACTGCTAACAGTAGCAGCAAAAACCACATAAGAAGCCTTATTCATTTCTCTTTGGGTGATTCACATTTAGTGGCAAGATTTATTTTTACCAAGAAGTGATTATTAGGTCTAATTTTTCAAAATAGGAATTATTTTAACAAAGAAGTAATTACTGAGACTAATTTTCCCAGATTAACATATCATAATGTGACATACTTTCTATTTAAACAGACAGCTATGAGGTACTTAAATGATACATGCTTTTCATTTTTCTAGTAGGAGAGAATTCTGAATCTGTCATCTTTTCTAATGTAGGCCCTGTAGGCTGATAACCTGCATAAGCAAGGTACTCAGGCAAACCTAGTGATAGAAACCTGACCACAGAAGATGAAGTGGATAAGAGATATGCCGATGAGTAACTCATCAGAGGCTGAAAATTCCCCTTAACCTTCTTCATTTAGTACTTTAATATGTGTTCTCACAAATCAATTTCACTTATTAGAATGAAATCCAAGAAAGTAGATGTTTGTCAAGCCAATTACTTGGTCAGCGTAGGCATCGCCTGTGAATTATATTTATAATGTGCATACCCTGGTGAGGACTAATGGATCAATGAGAAAATTAGATCAAATAGCAGGGGGAAAATACTACTTCAGCTTTAGACTGCCAGTCAATGGTGTTGAAAGCATCTCTACCAGGATGAAGGTGTTTATAAGATCTGAAAGTAATCAATTCTGATTACTAGGGATAAAGTGTGTAAAATTTCAAATTGAAGCTAGAAATATAACACATGGCTTATTTCACCTTGCTGTTAGAACCTTGGGGCATTCAGAGAAAGACAGGTGAAAACAGGTAAAAAGATATTCCTAGTTCTTCCACTAATCTTGATGGCATCGTGAAGTAGTAAAACTTTGCACTTTCGATAGCACACAAAACAACCTGTTGATTAAATGACAGCTCAGCGTACTAACACGAGTGCAGTTTTGTCTTTAAACGCCTGATTGTGTCATGTGCAGTTTGTTTGTTTGTGAGTTCATTTACCACCGTTTAACTTTTCTGTCTGCTGTTTTGTGCCAGCCTCAGACCTTTGGCTTACAATCAGGAAGGGGCTGTGTTCCCTGCAACTGCAATTCTTTTGGGTCCAAATCATTTGACTGTGACGAGAGTGGACAGTGCTGGTGCCAGCCTGGAGTCACAGGAAAGAAGTGTGACCACTGTGCTCACGGCTACTTCAACTTCCAAGAAGGGGGTTGCACAGGTGTGTAAAGATCAGGGTCTTAGGTATTCATTCTTTGGTTTCGGTGACGTGGATTCTGTAAAACTCCTTCTATTAAAGGAAACGTACATTGGTCATAGAGAGATGCTATAGAATGTTGCAATTTGAAATACTGCCTAATAAAACACTGCTTGCAACCATGCCACACAAATTCCACCTGTAGGTCCCAATCCTGCGTGACCCTCTCTGTCTGTGATCTCTATTTGGCCAGTTACTCAATGACTATGCAGCCTGAAAGACCGGTGTTCAAGGGTTTTGTTTGTTTCTGTTTGGGGTTTTTTGGTGTTATCTTAGTTTGTACTCTACTCCCACACCATTTCAACTTTTTCTGTTTCTAATTAAAAACTGATACAAAGATCAAGGAAATTATTTTTAAGGTATAAAATGTTTTTATTACTTTTTCACTGCCTTGAAAACTCTGATGTTGTGAGAGAGGCACAATTTGGGTCTGGATGTTTAGTTCATGGGAAAATGCAGCTTGGTGTTTCTGACTTGAGTCCCTGAAGTTATATCCTAGGTCTAGCGAGAGACGTCACACAAATCATGACAAGGAAAACACAATAAGCATACCACAGATGAAAGTAAAGGTGAACCTTAGTTTTGATGCATGTGTCAGTAATTTAGAATTGACTCTATTCCAACGGTCATGAAGTTGAGTCTCACATTTGCTTACTAAACTCATTGACTGAATTTTAATGATACTTCTGTACTGTACCCTCAGCAACATGGTAAGATTTTAAAACACTGTCATTAATGATGCCAAGTCTATGTGACAATTAATAGGAGTAATGTTTAAAGTTATTTAAATAACCGGTTTCTTTCAGACATTTTCCAATGCTTTCAGTGTATACTTACCATAAACTAACCCTTGTAAGTTATTCTGAATTCAACAATTGCAGATCTTCTAAGAATTTGTATGTAATCTCTAGACAAATATCTGCGTATATTAAAAAATTCCAAAGCAGCATTTTAAAATATTCCTTAAGTCTATTTTTCACTAACATTCTTCTGTGATATGAATTAATGTGATACTACATATTTAAATATATCTACTAACCAGCTTTATAAATGAAACCAAGAATATGTTCTAAAATTAGGAAATGATGATAACATTTTATGAATGCAGACCTAGCATCCTTCTAAGCTAGAAAAACAGAATAGAAAAAGCACAACTCAGGCAGGATAACGTTGTGATGGAGAGCATGACTTGCAGTAAAGAGCTGGGATCTATGTAGTGGCCCCTACAATACCTAGTTTTATAATCTCAACTATGTGAGTTGGTCTCCCTTTCTCTCCTAAAAATTCATCTACTATGTTAGCATAATAGCAGCATCTACATCGTAGACTTGTAAGAGTTAGTTGACTGAATGACTAACAAGTACTTAGAGTAATTCCTAAAATATCAGTGTTGCACGTTTATCATTATTAGCTTTATTAAAATTATCAACTGCAGTCAACATTATGTTTCTTCTTTCTATTCAGTATTATGATTGCACTAAAGATCTATGTAGGGGATTTCTATTTGCTAGTAACAACGCAGACTGTCCCGGGACATTTTTAGCACATAAATTTAAACACTTTCTTCTTAATAGTACGTATAAAATAAATTTATTTAACATTACCAGCAACAAAAGCAATGACAACTGACATTTAGTACTTATTCTGCGTTAAGTATCGTGCTAAACATTTTTCACAGCTGGTATGAAACGTTTTGAGCAATTATCATTGTGATCTCTTTAAAAGTGAACTTAATCAAGTACCCTACGTGTATTTGGTTAAAATGATTTATTCACCATAATATAACTAATTAAAAGGGCTCTCATAATATTAGTTGTACATTTGAATTCAAGCTCTGAATTTGGTAGGTTTCTCTCACTTTCATTTCATTGAAATTAGAAGTTGCACTAGAGCACACTCTTAGTGGCTGTGTCAACTATAGATGAAAAATGGCAGGTGTTCCTAGTTAGCATGGCTTTCGTGTTCTTCTTAAAAAGTGTTTTTCATTTTTGACAAAGTGAAATAGGTAGGGAATTATGACTCTGTGTGCATCATTCATTCAATGAAAAAAATGAACTATGTTGAAAAATAAATCAGGTGATAAAGAAGTATCTTTTTGTTTGTTTGCTTGCTTGCTTGTTTTGGGGTCTTACTGGGTAGTTTAGGCTGGCCTTGAACTCACTGTGTAGCCCAGGCTGGCCTTGAACTCTTGATGATCCTCCTGCCTCAGTCTCCTGAGTGCTGGAATTATAGGCATGTGTTGTCATGCCCAGCAAAAAGTATATTTATATCTAGACAGTGTCTGTAACTCAACTTTTTAAAATATTTGTCAGGAACATTTCAATGGGTGTCATTTATAACCATATACATGACATACTGAATTTAAGATGCCGATTAATCTAATTGGTTTTATTAAAAGTCAGTGTCATTCTCAGGAAAGAAAAGTTAATCTTTATAGCATAGAAAATACAAATGAATTCAAATATACACATAAAATTTTAAAACTTTATGGTATCTGGGTAATGATACTAAAATTAATAAAGAATGTGATAACATCAGTTCTATCACAAGCTAAATAGGAAAGTGAAAAATAATTTAACTTTTGAAACTATTGAATGAATTACAGTGTTCATTGGACCCTCTCTGTGAAATGCAGCACCACGATATAAAGATGAATGAGTTAAGGTATTTTCACCCCAGTGACATTAAATGTAGAGTATGGAAAATGGAAAAAACGACACAAATCACCACACTAAAAATGCTCGATGTTTATGTTAGGTTTACAGACACTTAACCTTTCACTGTTTTCTCTTCTTCCTCCGTGAAGCGTGTGACTGTTCCCATCTGGGTAATAACTGTGACCCCCAAACTGGGCAATGCATCTGCCCCCCCAATACCGTTGGAGAGAAGTGTTCTACATGTGCACCCAACTCCTGGGGCCACAGCATTGTCACTGGCTGTAAGGTGAGTAAATCACATTTGTCATCAATTAATTCTGTGCAGAGTTTTGCTTTAGTGCCGTTCTACAACTGGGCATTTCAACTACCTCACAACAATGCAGAAATCTCAGAATGTGTTACAGCTATTGGTCAATTCTTCCATATTATTTGTGAGAAAAATGAAATACACCTTTGTGCCACTGTAGCCACGAGATCTAAAAATTAGAGGGGGGAAAAGAATCAAAAATTATGGAATAAAACCAAGAATCACATATTACATCTAGATATGCATAATGAAATACAACTTCAGAGCATAAGAGAAGGAAAAATTAAAGAAATTTGCCAAAAATCTAGAGGAATTCTCTTCAGATCAACACGTTTTAGTTTTTAGGATATAGACAAAACTCCAGAAGAGTCTTGTTACTAGCAAATGTTACTTTAGAAAAAGTCTCCTTGTTTTCCTGTGGATATAGCATAGAAACCGGCATAATCAGCTTTGCTCTCAGATAAATATATGCAGCATTAGCAGGAAAGATAGTATCTGTGGTGTTAGGGAAATGCCAAAGAGAGATGCCAGGAGGCTGGGACCAGTCCAGGCGTGGCTACACAGCAGAGCCCTTAAGGGCTAGGAACTCATTGGTTTGTCAGAAAAGGAAGAGCAGCTTAAGGATGACCCTAATGCCCTGCTTTGATATAGAGGGGCTGTGACATGTACCAATTAGTACTAAAGAGATCAGAGGAGGAGGAGCAAGTGTGGGAAGGTGCAGAGTTCAGGTTATTACCAGCTCTGGGTGCAACATTACTTAAATAAAATAAAATCCACTCATTTAAAGTTAATGAGTCTGGGCAGTAATTATGATCATGTAGCCATTCATCAGGCCCCTTTGTAACCAGCTCCCCTCACCCGTTACACGTCTGTGCTATGCCGCCTACACTGTGGTTTCGTTATTTTACAAATCCATAGAAACAGATTCATGCTATGTTGTTGTTTTGTTGAACTTTTTGTTTTGGGGGAAGAGGGCATTGTTTGGCTTTTTCACTTAGTGTAATATGCTTGAAGTTCATCTGTCTTGTTGCTTGAACAGTTGATAGGATTCTACAGTATGTTACACTATGATTTTTTTGTTTGTTTACTATTTGATGCACATTTGAGTCCTTTCTAGGATGGATCTATTAGGAATAATTTTGTTGTGAACATTCATTCACAGGTTAAAAGCATTTGTGGGTGCATATTTTTATTCCACTTCACAAGAACTCACCACCTCTTTGCTTAACCTTGAAATCTTGACCATTTTTAGTTTTAAGCATTTGGTTAGCTGTACCTTTTAAGTGCCCTGTGATGTTAGAAATTATTTTATGTATTTATTTGCTATTCTTATTTCTTTTTGTGGAGCGTTTACAAATCTTTACCTATTTTTATTTCTGATTTTTTAATAAAGACTTGTAAGATTCATGCAAATACTCTATATACAAGTCCTTTAACTGGGCATGTTCTATATTTGTCCCATGATAAAACTTGTGTTTCACTTAGTAGCCACATCTATTTTTCATAAACTTTTAAATAAATTTTAAAAACTTTTTCCTACCTTTTTAAATCTAGGAAATATCTATTTAGTCAAGGATACTAGCCACATTCTCATCACTGGGACAGAATACTAACAACTACAACTAAAGAAGGAGGCTTTTATTTGGATTTGGCTCAGTTTTCACTGGGTCAGTCCGAAGTCACTGGTTCTAAGGCAGAAACACATAGTGGAGGAAAGAGAAGGGAGGGGAGGGGAGGGGAGGGGAGGGGAGGGGAGGGAAGGGAAGGGGAGGGGAGGGAAGGCAAAAGACACCTGCTCAGCCCAGGGCTGCAAGGGAGCACAGACAGAAGAGGGGAGCTGGGGCCAAGCGTGCACCCTTCCAGGCCCGGCCCCAGGGACCTCCTCTTAATGGGATGGATCCGCCAATGCGAATAGCACCCTCATGACCCACTCAACTTCAAAATGTGAGAATTTTGGAGGACCTTTAGATCTCATCTGTAACACTAAGTCCAATTCAAAGGTTTCTGTTCTGTCTGCTTTAAGAAGGTTTACATTGCTAGCTCGCAAACGAGGTCCATGTCTCACCTTGGTATTTCCTCTTTTTTAATTGTTTAGTAGTGTGTGTTTGAGATATACAGTAAATATATTCACCGTGGAGTGTTGGTACATATGCAAACTACATCTCGATCAATTTTACTTCTCCTTTTGTTCTCCTCAGTCCCTTGTACCCCAATCCTCAGATCTTCTGTCCCCATGAATGCAGTCTTTCTGTTTCCTATCATCATGCCTTTATTTTGTTCTTTGAAGTATTTTACATACTAACTTTATATACTGTGAGGAAACATCAAAATTGCCTTTATTATGGATATCCAACTTTCCACAATCATGCATTGAAAAGATATCCTTTCCCCCTATTAAGTTACTTTGGTCTCTTTCTCAATCAATTGACCACACATACATTCATGCATTTCTGGACTGCTCTGTTTCATTGATCTGGGGGACTATCCTTGTATAAATATCACGGTATCTTGATTATCATAGCTTTCTCATAAGGAATATAACTGAGTAGTGTAAGCTCTCCAACTTTATTTTTCATTTCCAATATACCTTGTGCATTTTACACTCTTTATATTTCCATACAAACTTTCATTTCAGCTTCCTAATTTCTTCGCCAGAAAGCCAAATGGGATTACACTGAGACTACTGGCGTCATAAGAATTCCAGTGCATGAAGCTGGCATAAATTTTCCTTTATTGGGGTCTTTATAATGTTTCTCAACAGTGTTCCATAGTCTTTGGTATGCAAACTCTGCACACATATTACTACATCTATCATTGTTTTAGATTTAGGATTCAAAAGTAAATGCTACTCTGTTTCATTTCAATTTTCAATGGTTGCTAGAATAGAAAAAATACATTTCTATATTTTTACCATGCTGTAGAGGAACTTTGCTGACCAGTTAATTTAATTTTTAGTAGTTTCATTAAGATTTTCTATAGCATCATATCATCTGCAAAAGTGATGTGTTTTTCCTTTTCCAATCTGTGTAACTTTATTTCATTTTCTTGTCTTGCTTCTGTAAAACATTGGCTAGGAGGTATACAAACAAACACCCTGGCCATATTTCTTATATAATTTGTAAACAGTCAGTCTCTTTCAGATGAGAATGTCATGTCGTTACTTGTATTTTTTCCATAGGCATTCTTCATTAGTTTGTGGATTTTCCCTCAAATCCCTAGTGTGCAAAGAGCTTTTATCAATAATTTATATTTATTTTTGTTGCATACATTGTCTGTTTCTTTTGCAATGATTATGTTATTTTTAAAATTGTGGTGAATAATATTGATTTTCAAGTGTTCAGCTATTGTTTTTCTCCAAGGTGATTTCTTTTTGGTCTCGGGCATTATTGTTTTTTTAACTGTCTTGAATTTTGCATGCTCTCACTGTTTGTGCCTACATTCATAGAGAACATTGATCCATGTTTTGTGGCAGTGTATTGGGATGTTGGTAGTGGTGTGTTGCTACCCTCTGCCTTCTCACAAATCAGAAAAGATTTTGCATAATCAATGAAATAGAAAACAGAAAGAATTCAGAGGAACCTAAAACTAGTTTTCACCAAAAAAATCAATAAAGTTGACTTTTCTAGCAACATTGATCAACAAATAATTAATCAAAATCAAAAATAGAAGAGATCACTGTAGTACTTTATGGACATTAAAAGAATATGATAATAGCAATCAAATTTTCAATAAGAACTTGTATGAAACAAACATTTTCCCCCCTTTGGCTTATTTGAATTTGATTTTTTCTTTTTTCTAAGTTTTTCTAATTATTATAACTTACACAATTGAAAGTAGTATGGGTTCTGGAATCAGTGAATTGAATATTTAATGAAAGTTAGTGATTCTTATTTTCCCGTGTTTTCAGTGTTGAACTATAATTTTGATTTATGTCTTTTTCAGTTCTCTTATGTCTTAATTCATATATTTTGGAGTAGTGATAGCAGGTGTATACATTTTATGATGCTATGTCCCTTTGAGAAGTCTAATGATAAAATATTCTTTCTTCCCTGGTCATACTCCTTGTGCCAAAGTCTACATTTAAATGTGTTCATATATCCCTCCCAATTTTCTTTTGCTTGTTAGTTGTGTGGCAGATATTTTTTAAACTATTCTTTTATTTCATCTTTCTTTTTGACATTTTTGTATGTTTCCCTCAGGTAATATAGTTATAAAAGTTTTTTATTCAGTCGTAATACTTTGACCTTTTCATTGGAGTATTTAAATCATTAACAGTTAATATAATTACTTGTACTGTGTGATTGAATTCACCTGTGTTGGGATGACTGGATTCACTCTACATTTATCTGTTTGCTTTTTGCTACACCTATCTGCCATTTATTTTTTTTTCTTTTCTTACATTCCTTTGAGTTGAATAATTTATATAACTGATTCTCTTCACTTTTACATTATTTTGTACACCTATCTGTTTTGCATATTTAGTGTTTCTCTAGGTATACACATTTTTAAATTTCCAGAATGTACTTCAAAATAATAATAGACTATTTTACATTTTTCATAAGACTCTTAAAATGGTAAACTTCCAATTCCTATTCCTAGTCTTTGTCATGCTATTATCATATATTTTATTACTTAATGTTGTGTACATCACAATATAATCTTAAGATTTTTATTTAATTATCTTTTTAAAGTAGAAAACTTCTCTTTTCATATGTATTCCAGTACTGTTAATTACTTTGCATCCAAATGTCACTTCATATCATTTCTTTCTATTAACTACCATTCTAATTTATGCTATTATTGTTTCTAGTATTTCAGGTCTGCAGACAGTAATTCTTTATTTTATTGTTTGTTCAATTAAAGTTTTTATTTTTCCTTCATTTTTCAAAGATATTTTTTCTGAGTATATAATATAAATATCAGTTTTCATCTGTTTGAAAATACTGTTTCTTGGAGTTTTCCTGTTTCTTTTTAATGAG